ACATTATTTTTTATTTAATTATACATTAGACACACGTTAATAAATAAATAATTGTCTTGATAATCAGTCCACGGTGACTGTTAAATAAATTTTGCATTATCGACTTAGATATTCTAATATTATAAAGGTGAGACTATAAAATACAAAATTGTATATGCATTACTCAAAAATGAACGATATATTAGTTTACGTTTTAATAAATATTATGTACCGTCTAGGTACAAGCTAATTTTTGATGCTACGTCATTGGAGAATTTCGCGTGGTGACAACTTGCCTCACTTTCAGCTGCCGTGTTACCTGTCCCCTCTCTTTCCTTGTCTAAGAGGTTCATAATGTCGATTCCGTCTCCCATGTCCCATGCATGAATTCATGGATATCACTGTACCTACTCCTTTTTTGTCTACTCTTTATATTTAAAAATGTTAGTACAATACCTAAAGCAATGAGTATCATAGCCAAAAAATTGAGAATTAATGTAGTGTACGCCTAAAAGTTTATGAATTTCAGGTTAAACTGCTTGATCGCTACTTTTTGTTCTAGTTAAATATATTCTACTCTGAAGCAATAGCAATACATACGAACATTTATTAAAATCTTAATAATGAGTAATAAACTAATCTTCCAGAAAAATCTACTCTGCTGATAAGTTCAATGTGATTTATTAAAAAAAAACACAAAAAGATCTGAAATTCTTGTAAGTGTACACTTTTTAAAGGATATAGTTTCCACCATTCATAGCATAGTCATTAATAATATAGTTAAATCATCGTTTTCTAAATGACGTAGGTATATTTTTAAATTATTCTGGCTTATTCATTTCTATGAGTTTACTTTTTTCTGGCATCAAAGCTTGATATGAATTAACAGCTGGTCTATTTAAATTTAGAAGAATTTAGTATTATATTTGAAGAAAATCGCAATTTTCTTTACAATGTAAACTCTCTAAAAGATTATTATTATTTTTCTAAGATCTATTTAAGTTTAATATTCAATAACTGTTAAATATTAAAGGATATCTTTTACAAAAATAGCTAATTATTATAAAAAATTTTTTGTTTCCTTAAATTTCCATTGAAACTCTAATAAATTAAAATTTAAAAACAACTTCATTAAAAAAAACTGATTTAATTATTTTTAAAACAAATAATCAGTAAAAAAATTTAAAATTACCTATGTTTTATGAGTAATGAAAAGTTGACAAAACAAAAATCCCAAAATAAAATGTGTGATAAATCAACTACTGAAAACATCAGTGTGATTCTTACCTGAAATTTGTATTTTTAGGATAACAAATTGAAAACATTTAGTTTGTTAGAGTACGAACATACCCAAAATATTATTTCAAAGGTACATTGAAACATTTGGCATCATTTAGTTTTGGTAGCTTTAAATAATTGCAGAACTTTGTTTTTCCCGCATAAACATTTTATTTGTTACAAAAAGAAGAGAAGGGAATTTTAAATTTTTGTATGTTATTATTAGTAGGCATATTCTGTAATTATAAGGTAGATATTAAAAATATTATACCCTATACTCCTATATCATAATATTTCTCTGAGGTTTAAGTAATTAAAAAATTGTTCTTTATTCATAATCTAAGCTAGATAGGTATAGGAAACCGTAATATAGTTTGAACAAGCATTTGAATCTGCTTCGATTTAATTTAAAAAATACAGGGTATTGTATTTTAAATAACGAAGTTTTTATGTAAAATAAATATTTAAAATAGACCAACAATTTTTGGTACCCCTGTATAAATTTAAAGAAGCAATAAAAATTTTCAGTAAAATTTATTTTTCTACCTTAAACTCAGCACAACAATGAATTCTGAAAAGTAATGTAAAGGGTATTGATAATCTATTCCATTGTAGCATATTTAAATATCTAAAAAAAACAAATATTTTAAAGATATTTAACGCTTATAATAAATGCCTTTTTTGGACCCTAGAATCCGGGTGTTCCATAAGAAAAAATATAACTTTGGTATGTATCATAATTCTGAAATACCCTGTATATTTCAAAATAATTTTAAATTGTGCACATTACCTCCTCACATAAACGCATAAAATATTTAATTTCTACATCTTTCCGTTTTCGTATAATCAACCGAAGCGAATGAGGTGCGCCACCCTGTATAACGATATACTAGATGTGAATACAAAAATACACAAAGATTTTATTAATTTATATAGATCTGGATAAAGATAGACATTAATTCAACTTTTCAAACAATAAGAGATGTATACAAATAGATTGTAACATTAAACGATATTCACTCGAAATTTTTCTACTAAGTCAATTATTTTTGGAGTCATTACTCTAACTAGCTGGAATTATATATAGTAATAAGGATAAAGGCAGCGTGGATTTTGATGAATTCTGTTATTAAATTTTCAAATAGATGAGACAAGATATGAGCTTCAGAGCAACAAATAGATAAAATAGGGCTTTTAATTACTACTCCACAATTAATTGCACTTATATGGTTGAAACTATTGTCATTCCATTGAATGAAAAGAGATTAGGTACTAGTTTTGCTAATACTAAGATATGATATAAAGAACAAGCTGGTATCATATTATCATCTACTGTAATTCTCCAAAAAGTTTGGTATCGCATAATTTTGTCCATTATATCTACACACATGGCCAAAATTATTGCATATAACGATATTTTTATTTTATTTTGGACCTAACATGATTCTTTTTATATTTTTGGACATATTCAACCGAGGCGAATGAGGTGCGCCACCCTGTATATGGAAAAAATATATTTAATGCAATAAGTAGAGCTAGTACATTAGTTAGTTACAATATTGAAGGCATTTAATACAGTCAGACAATATTTATTTAACGAATTATTTCTAATTATTGGCTTGCTACACGACTACCTAATATAAAATTAAAAATCTAAGTGCAACTAAGCTGTTATTATAATTTTATTTCATAATGAATGAAAATCAACAAAAACCAATTTCATTTTAAACAGAAAATATTGAAAACAATTTTAATTATTTCTCGCAACTAATAGTCTGTACTGCCTCCTCGAGCCTCAATGCAAGCTGTGAGACGATGTGGCATGCTCTCAATTAAGTTGTCTTGAAGATGTTGAGGAATGGCTTCCCATGTTTCGCGCGCAGCAATTTTCAATGCATTTAAGGTACGGGGGGGGGGGATTATTCCTTTTGGCAATATGGCGTTTTAGCATGTCCCAAACATGCTCGATCACATTCATATCTGGAGACATCGGTGACCACCATAGTTTCCTTATACCCTCTTCCTCACAAAATTTGCGAACCGGTAAAGTGCGATGTAAACAAATTAATTCCCACTGCCCCTCGAAATGGACGTACAATAGGCTCTAAAACGTCTCTAAGATATGAGGCACCTGTCATTGTGCCATCAATAAAAACAAGAGGAGTTTGAGCTCCGTGCATTATATCTGCCCATACCATAATGCTTCCCCATTGAAACGGGACACGGGGTTGAGCTGCATTCTTGTTCAGGCCTATTCTTGTTTCATCACTAAACATGACGAAATTCCAATTAGGTCCATTTGCTATTATCTCCTCAGCTCATTGTAGTCGCCTAATTTTGTGCTGTAAATTAAGCTTCGGAACAGGTAGAGGCCTCCTTAAATGTAATCCTCTGTCATGGAGTCTTCTTGCTATGGTCTTTCTTGAAACATTTACTCCTTCAAGGCGAGCTAACTCATTTTTTAATAGAAGTACTAGAAAGCAGTAGACTGCGTCGTGCAATTAGGGATATTTGACGGTCTTGCACAGCAGTAGTAACTCTCTTTCTACCTCTTGCAGGCCGGTCTGTAACCCCGTTTGTCTCCCTGAATTTATTTAATATTCGCGAAACATCGCTTTGGTTAACTCCTACAATTTCAGCTATTGCAACTTGCCGGTAGCCCTGTTGAGACAGTGTTGAGACATTCTGACTCTATTAAACTGTGAAATAATGTTTCTAGGCATTTTAAGGCCAAACATTGGTCAAATTTCTTCTGAAACCCAAGAGACCATAAATCGAAATGTGCAAGAATTTGTAATAATATTGGGTCTGAACGATAAACATTGTTTACCATATCCATAAAAAAATGTTTATTACAGATTATCAAAGCTATGTATAAAAAAAATATTCTTTAAATTCCTTTCCGTATATTTTTAAACGATATATGCAATAATTTTGGCCATGTGTGTATTTAAATCCCACGTAAAAAAAAGATGAATAAAAACTCCCCTTTTCATGGGAATCCTTACAGATGGAAGACTCCTTCCATAACCTGGAATGAGAGTCCTCCAACCGGTTTGAGACACTCGAAGAAATTTCTCAGAACCTAAGAGCGGGAAAAATTAAAGCGTTTTTTGATTTAAGTACGGACAATCTTCGGATTGTCCGGGGTTTTAACAGGACACTGTCTCCTCTATGAACATCTCAGTAGATTGAAGCTAACAAACAACCGCGAATGCAGATTCTGAGGGGAAAATGGGGAAAAACCAGAACGCAAACGACAACCATTCGTACCATAAACATTGGTAAAACTGATATCGGTGTTAAACTCCAGTGACTTCTTCTCTATTAAGATAAAGAGGATTAGAAAAAATATCTTATATCTCTGTATATTTATTGCTCTGAGGTATGTAACGATACCAGGTTAAATATGTACGTATTTGAATCGATATCACCGTTATTACACATACAACAAATCATTAATTATTTCTGAATACTATTGTGCCCTGTGACGTCACGTAAATAAACCTATTTTTGAATTAGACTTGTTTATAAATATGAAGCTTTTGTTGGGTATACCGTGACGTCAAATATGCTGTTTTTTTGAGTAGTGTCGCATAAAAGATTAAATTTCAATGGAATTAAGGAAAATTGGTTAATTCTAAATCAATATGTTGCTTATAAAAGTACATACAAGAGTTGATGTACATACAAAAATGATCAAGAGAAAATTCCAAAAAAATGTAGAATAGTTGTGAACTTACCTACATATTACAGCAACTATAAAAGACACAAATATAAATTTCAAATAATAAAATTGTTAAACAAATGTCAAGTGCTGACTAAAATGACGGATTTGTCAAGATTTTGAAATTTATATAATACCTCTATATAATATACTTATACATACATAGATGACTCTCCGAGTATTCTCTGTAATAGATGTAGATGTTTCTATACCTATAATAGACACTCAATGTAATATGCTTATACCTATGGACATTGAGCATTAATTACAATAGAGAATCCAGGGGCGGCTCGTAGCACTGGAAGATGGTGAGGCACATTAGAAGAGAATTTTTATTAGTATGTATATAGGGTGGCCATTAGTAGGGAGGAAGTTCTATATAAAAAAAGTACATATCCTAAAAAAATATTTTCTTTAAAATTGCAATCGCATTTCCATTTTTCTGTACAGAATTGGGTTCAGCATAAAATTCAGCATACATCACACTATTGATTTATTTGAAGCACTATATATAACTCTGTTTTTTTTCTCAGGTAAGATTTCGACAGACGATGACAGAAGAAAAGCAGATGATGTCCCATACCAATCTATTTATTTTACTAAAAAAAGTTTCTAATAATTTTTAAGTTATCTATGGATGTGTTTAAATATAAATCCGTCATGCGTCGTGTCTTGTTGTTTTTAACCAGTTTTATTGGTTTATTTAAAAAATGACAGATCGTATTCAATTTTATTGGTTTGACGGAACGATGAACGACAAACGGACGCCGATGCGTATGAACTCGCCTTTAGATTTTTGTCATTTTTGACGCTTGTCAAAGTCTTGCCAAATTATAGGTTATAATTTTGTGTCAACTTTTATTAAATACCCTGCGTTTTGGAAGATGATGCATTTTGATTCGTATTATTACGTGTGTTTTGTGTCTTTTGAAGTCAAGTGGAGGAAAAATCGAGTGAAAATTAACTGTAGACCCAGAGCACAGTTTATGGTTAATACTTGCTGCCCAGGCAGAAAGTCTTATACACCAATGAAGTTGCCATCGATAAAGTTTGTATACCATTTCGTCGTAGATAAGTGCATCTCGTATATGGTAGAAGGATCAAACTAAACACATACTAAAAACTGGAGTAGCTGTAAAATATCGACATCACACGATAGGTAAATAATGGATTTTAGTACTGCAGAAAAATAATGTCAAAAGGTACTGGTTTAAAAAAATTAAGATTAAAGTTAATTAATCAACCTTTAAGGTATAAAATTTGGTAGGTGTTATTATTAATAAAATAGTTTGTTTTATTTATGTTGCTTTATTTATTCCTGTGGAATATTACAAATTTGTATTTGTACATAAGTTATATTGATAAATATAAGCATAAATGCGGGAAGTTTCATAAAGCTTGAAAGTAAGAAATAGTTCTTTTATATATATTTTGGTATGTGGTATCTTGTTTTTGATTGTTTTGTATTAACACATACCGTTTTTTATTAAATAAAAAAACTCGATTACATTTTTTCAGTTTTATACAGTTTTTTTCACAGTATTTTGAAGTTACTTGTCAGTCAAATTTTAAATACATATATTTATTTCCTGCTATGCGTTCCAGTTGTACCAACTTATTTCTTTGTAAAATAAAATAAACTACTTTGAAATTAAAATGACAGACACATCTATCACTGTCAAGGATCTTCTCGTTGGACAGACTTATAAAAAGCTTTTGAATTTTTATCAACCATTCAGGCTACCAGCGTGGAATCTGAAAGATGTTTTTCTTCGGCAGGGATCTTGTAATAAGATACGTTCAAGACTGGGGGATGAAACTTGGACGCATTAATATTTTTGAGCTCTTTTTTTTTTAAACTTGTAGCTATAATTCATTGATAATTTTAAACCCGGGATTCAATTCCGGGATTTGTCGTTCAAATCTCGAAAATCCCGGGATTTTGAAAGCCTTTCGGGATTGACATACCTAGTCCTAGCACTGTGCAGAAATTATATTCTTTGGAGCTTGAAGTCTGTTATATCCCCCTTTCAAAACTGACATGAACGCCACTGATATATATGATATGCTAATTAATTCCCCGTCTTAAGCAGGCAATTCATTTTTTACGTGTTTGTACAATACACACGGGCACACACAATTCTCCCGATTGCCTAGAATTATTGCTAGCCCCGTTCCTTCTCCTTGACTTATTTTAAGCCAAAGCTCGACTCAGGGATTCTCCCCACTCCTCCCGGCGTGACGTCACCCGTCAGTGAGTACGACCAGAACCACACTGAATGATCCAGACCAGATTATCCCAAGCTGGCTACTTCGATCTGTCGATACTGGCCCCGAGAGTATCGTACGAATACGGTCCTGAAAATGTAAAAAAAAGTTTGACAGCTATCCGATACGATTCGATTTTGTTTTCCGTCGTTGTTCTATTGTTTTTTCGATATCGAAACAAAAAATCAAGCGCGGTTTTTATGTAACGATCTTATAGAAGTATTTTTTCGAGAAAGTGTGTATGTTTTTTTGGAATATAGGATTAATTTAACTTAAGGTAGGAGAATTTTTCTGTTATAATTCTTCTTTTTTCTTTTAACACAAATATAAATAAAGTTTAGACCACCAAGGATGCTGTATGTTACACAAATAACTGCAGGCTTTGCAAGTTAAACAAATAAGGCTTGGATTGTTCATAATGATACACGATATAATATGTTTTTTTTTGGCATTTAAAAACTGAAGATTTGGCATTTTCTTACTTGAAATTCTCGTAATATAGTGAAAATTAAATACAGGAGAGACACATTTAGTTTTTTGGCACAGTTCTAATATTCTCTGGCCTATATTATTCCGAAAAAAAAATGTAGGCCTTTCGGAAACCGAAACAAGTAGGTTTGTGGGGCCTATACATTTTCGTTTTCGCTTTTTTTACTGAACTTTCGATTGCTATTTTTAAAATCGGTTCGTCGGTATTTCCAGATCAGTTTATTTGCTTTGAGGAGTAATATAAACTCTCGTTTGGTGTTAAGAATTAATTATACAGTACACCTCTACATCTGTTACACAGAGCAGAGTAACTGAATTAAAAAATAGAAAGAAAAAAATCTGAGAAAATTACCTGAACAATTTTAGTTGAAATAGAAACAAAATCTCATAAAAAATTTCTAAATACATATAAAATTTTACCTATACAAAATGAGTTAAAAATAAGTGCAAATATTTTCAGGGCTGGTAGATCTCGATAAAAGAAACATATTTTAAATATTTTTCGAAAATTTTCAAATTTTCAATATTTTAAGCTTATATGTTAATAAAAATACATTTGTTTTCAGTTGATATACAGGGTGAGCCTTAAATATGTGCAAATATTTTCAGAGCTAGTAGATCTCGATAAAATAAACATATTTTGTCTTTACCGCTTTTTAAATAAGTTCAAAACAACCGAGTTATTTTATTTTGAAAATTGAAAAAAAAAATATTTCTTGGTTAAATTTTGAGAACCACTGGATCTCTGAGTTTCCGTTCTTATAAAGTGAATCTACAACGAATGTTGTCATTTTATGTATTGTTATTATGTTTGTTATATAAAAATTAAAAAAATTCCTAAATATTTTTCAAAAATTTCCAAATTTTCACTGTTTTAAGCTTATATTGTAACGAATGCATTTGTTTTCAGTTGATATAGAGGGTGAGCCTTAAATAGGTGTAAATCTTTTCAGGGCTGGTAAGATCTCGATGAAATAAACATTAATAATACCTACTAAAACACGTACTTTTCAGGACAATTTTTGTTTTTTTTTTAAATTCTTGTGTCCGTAAAGTCGAACGGACCCCATTTCCTTGTATTTTTTTTAAAAATTGATTTATTAGTCGACCATACCAATAGGTATTAGGTAGGCTATTACGATCGGCAAAAAAAAAGTTTTTTTAATTTCACTCAAAATGAGTTACTTGGGTCATAAATGACCTAAATACAAAATATTTTCATGATGTCTGTCTGTATGTCTGTCGGTCTGTCCGTCCGTCTGTCCGTCTGTAACACGATAACTCAAAAACCGCTGAACCGATTTTAACCAAATTTGGCACAAAAACACTGTGGCACCCGAGAATCTGGACATTAGTTTTTGGTGGAGGGGGGGGGGTAAGGGGGTATGGGAGGGGGTTAAAAGTTTTAAGAAATAGTAACTCCAAAATTACAGTAGCTAGCGAAACGCGGTTTTCAAATTAAGATTAGGAATAATATTTGCAACAAAATTTGTAATAACATCAAAATCAGTCAAAGTCGCAGTTTTCGAGATATTAACATATTTTAGTATGGGCGGCTATACGTGCTATACGGCATCTCTTTGAGTGCCGTAACCATAGAGTTAAGCCGCAATCGTAAGACCGTAATTTTCTAAAATATACAGGAAAAAACACACGAAAGAAACTCTTCCTGGGGAGAACTATGCCACCCTTAAAAATATTTGCACTTATTTAAGACTCACCCTGTATATTTAATAATAGAAGAGATATTATCTCCAAATCAAATTCAAACCAATGGTTTCTTTTTTAATTAAATGTAAAGCTACACATTGCCTGTTGATGTTTGAATGACATATACTCCAAACATGTATTATTTATAGACTTACAGTTATTTTTCAATTTTTGCACCCATTGCTTTAATATAGTTTTATTTTCAGCTGCACTCGCTAACATTTAGAACGCATTGAATTGTTTTCAAGCTTAACTGCACTGCTAATGCTAAAAATGCAAGAGCTATGCATCGATGTAAAAGATATACCACTGTCTGTAAAAAGGTGAATCTCATCTTATTTCTTTAGTAAATATTTCTCTACAAAAAATACACTTTAACCTATAATGACTGAAATTTGTTTAGTTAAAATGATATGAACTACTCTAAATTTAAATTTACTTATTGTAAACATATATTAAAGTGTATTTTCCTCTACTCAAAATTAGTTTTAATCATTATTAATTGAACTGTTGTAACCCTGTGTCAGTATAGTCGTGCAATAGAAGGTGCAATCTAAAATAATATGACAATTTTACTATGTACTACGGTTTGGCCACAGCTTATTTACTACCAGCTGGTCATCTGTGTTTGATCAGTAAATTTTAGTTTAAATAGGAATTTAAATTAAAATTATTATGGTTCATTCCAATTAAACTTTTAGTCACGTGATTAAGCTTGTCCGGCCAGCGTTGCCCACTTTTACATATTTTCTATAATCAAAATATTTTAGGAAACAAAAATAAATTAATTATAAATATATAAACAATTATTATTTACATAACTCACCTCCTTAACAGCACTAGGGATATAAAGGGTCATTACTACCGCATTCCCGTTCAAAATATTCTAATAAGGTTGCGATGAGTTTTTGCATTGGCTATTAAGCTATCTTGTACACTTCGCACAAATGCAGAAATTCGCACACTTGTAGGGATAAGGTCTTTAATCTTCTCTGTACACTATTTAATTTTAAAAATATCTTTATTTCCATTAGATTAGAAGTCCAAAGCAAAAAGCAACATAACGAAAACCTCTTGTTGCATTTCCTACATAGGAATTTCTCAAACACAACAATACATTTCAAACAAAATTCATAACCACTCTCTTATTTTCAAAATCTATTTTCGTATTCCTTGTAGTGGAAATCAAACTTTTTTCAAACTAATAAAAATGAGTAATCTGTAAACAATTTAGACAGCAATATTTTGTTTCACACTGAATTCCATGCAACTGTATGTGATATTAAAGTGAAATTAATGAAATAAAAAATGAATTAAACAGTCCGGTACATTTAATTAAGTCCAATTAATACAGTGACATTAAAAAGTAAGGGCCATCTCTGTTAAGTACTAAGTACAGAATATATTTTGGTATTGAAGGAAAGTCTTTTAAATAAGAAAATTGTGCCTTCCTCATTGGTTTTAAAACAAATTTAATCTGATTCTTTTGGGTAGAGAGAATAAAATATACTAACAATGATATTCCATTATTTGTTTTACAAGTCAATCAGTTTATTGTAAATAAGAGTAATATATCAACACAGCTTATTTATTACCAGTTGGCCATCTTTATCTATTCGTTATATATCCGCATTTTACCTGCCGCACCTGTCTTATACAACATGACAGTACTCAAAGCATTAATTTCAATAGTTTTTCTAAACTGAGCTCATAATATGACTTGTTGCATATATAAGCCAATATCTAGATAAGTATGTAGAGTTTCATGCAAGTTGGAAAGTTGGTTACGAATAGGCTGTGGTATCACTTAATCACTTATTATATTGTAGAATGTTTATGTACTAAAACAATATACAGGGTGGTCCGAACTGTATTCCGGAAACTTTGTCCACATATTCTGCAGATAAAAATAAGTAAAAAAGTTCATATAACTGTATATCCTTTTTTTATCCTAAGTTTCTGGAATACAGTTCAGACCACCGTGTATATAGTTCATATCAAATAAACTTTTGGTCGCGTGATTAAGCTTGACCGGCACAGCGCTGCCCACTTTTACGTATTTTCTTTTTATCAAAATATTTTTGGAAACAAAAATAAATTAATTATAAATATACAAACACTTATTATTTACATGAACAAAACTCACCTTCTTAACAGCACTTAAGGGACATAAAGGGCCATTTTACTACCGCTTTTCCGTTCAAACTATTCTAATAAAGTTACGATAAGTTTTTTATGGCTATTAATGTACCCTTTGCACTAAAAGAGGTTCTAAAAAGAACAATGTCAGACTGCAAGGTCTTCTAGTAAACATTTTTAAGCTTAAAGTCAAAGCTTAAAGTATCACAACACTATTTATTAAAACCAAAAACTCGTTATAAAAAACTAAAATGTCAAAACGAATGACAAAGTCAGAATATAAATAAGTAAATGTGGCAATTAAATTGACATTTTTTATAGCAGAGCTACCAACTGAATCTCCAGCGCGAAATTTAAACTCCAATCCGGCGCTGAATACGTTCATGGTTGCAACAATGATTTTAAAAATGGCGCCCCCGATTACGTAACTAAAAGTTTAATTGATGTCAAATATAGATATTATTTACGTACTTTAATGCTTTATATACATTTATTGCATCATATTTTTATTCTGTTTAGGGGTATTTTCGATTTACTCGACATTATGTCTCCGACAGCTACTCTGTTCAACCAACCTTCTCAGCTATCACCTTCATTTTCTTCACTGAATCGCCATGCCAGGCAACAAGATTATGGAAGTTCTGGATCTGCAAATTCACTATTTACTCCGTCCTATGCCGCTACAACTCCAACGAATTGGTACCAATACCAAAGTAATGAGCCATATCAGGTAAATATCATCAAAAATCAAAAAAGATCAACTATAGTCTGTCCAACGAGACGATCCATGTAAGTGCTGTTGTGTCTGTCATTTTAATTCACAGGTACATTGTATTTTCTGTCATTTTTGAATGTCGTCTATCGAAAATTTCTCTGACTCGTTGGACAGGTAATACTTTATCATCGAATACTTTTACTAACCATGTTATTATAGGTATACTGGGTATATCTCGAAAGTGGCTCACCCCTATAATTTTTTTTTTATTTTTTTTTGGATAAAAAAAACGAGATTCGGTATGTTAGTATGTGCCATAGATTAGGATTAATTGACGTATTCAATTGTTTTCTATTACATTCTTTTTCACCGGAAATAACTATAAATTTTGATTTTTAAATGGCACCCTCGGTATATTTTTACTTTATTCGATAAAAAATGACACTCTGTGTAGAATGATATATCATATGTCAATTTTTGACATTTTCGCTTAAGAAAATCGTACAGTGCGTCTGTCCGTTCTGTAGCTACGGGGTATCCTTGAGAGGGGAAACGATATTCTCTCGATGTTTTTCGTAAAAAATTAGACGACGCGTCCCATCAATAAAAATTCGACAAATTTGCAAGTAGCCAATAAAATGAGTGGGCGGAGCGATTTGCGGTGACGTACTCGTCAAGTCGACGTATAAAATATATTGCTGTTTATTTAAATGTTTTTTGTCCGCATTCCTTTTATAGACACAGATCCAGCAGACGTACTGTATGTAATCGTATTTAAATATCAATCTAGAGTGCCAGGGCTGTATTAAAAACACTAATTTTTAATCAAGGAGCCTTGAAAAAATACTTCTATTTGATCGTGTAATCTTTTTTGTGTCTTGTTCTGACTTTATATCTCAATTTTTTCAAATTGAACAAGAGTGACTCATTAGCATATTTGAAAAAAGCATTTTTTTACGAATAATTTTCTACGACACACTTGGTATTTCGAGTCAAATTGTCGCTCTGAACCACATGTTACAATTTCAAATCAACTATATGCGAAAATGTCGAAAGCTGACATATGATGACATATGAAAAGATGTCATTTCTATTGAGAGTGTCAAATAAAGTAGAAATATGACGAGGGTGACATTTAAAAATCGAAAGTTGTAGTAATTTCCAGTAAAACAGGAAATGACAAAACTCAATTGAAAACGTCAATCAATCCCACTTTATATCATATACTAACATGCCAAATGTCGTTTTTTTTTATCTAAAAAAATAAAAAAAGTTATAGGGGTACATTTGAGACGCACCCAGTATATGTAATTGAAATGAAATACTTATTCAAAAATATGTTCTTTTACAGGGTGAGTCTTGGCACAGCGTAGTCGACTTTAACATATTTTCTTTTAATTAAAATATTTTAGGAAATAAAAATGAATTAGATATAAATATATAAACAGTTATTATTCACTATAACAAAACTCACATCCCTAACAGCACTTAAGGGACACAAAGGGCCAGTTTACCGCTTTCCCGCTCGAAATATTCTAATACTGTTTCGATAATTTTTTTGTAACGGCTGTTAAGCTGCTTCGGCATCTTGTACATTTCGCACTAGAAGAGGTTCTAAAAAGTTCAATTTCCGACTGCAAGGTCTGCTAGTAAAAATTTTAAGCTTATAGTATTGCAACACAATTCACTTAAACCAAAAAGTGTCACAAATCAAAATATCGATAATTAAATATGGCCACTTGACATTTTTACAGCAGCGCTACGACCTGAATCGCCAGCGGGAAATTTGAATTCTAGTTAAATTTCAATCCCAGCGCCGAATATGTCCATAGTTGGCAAAAATGCATTTAATAATCGCGCCCTCGATGACGTAACTCAAAGTTTATTTTGTATCGATTATAGGTACGCAGAGATTTCCACGTTAATGACTGTAAGTCGACTGGCTGTCTAGTGAATACGCTGTGCTTTTAATTCTGTAAATTTTGGTGCTACTATCTTTGCAATTTTTTGCGAGTCTTATCTGCTGATTATGCGATTATCTAGAAAACAATTCCAACTAATGTAATCAGACTTATAATAATTTAGTAGTTTTTATTAAAGTTTAAGTTTTATTTGAAATAAAGTTAATCCAATAACTGCATTCTCATTTTTAAAATTATGGTACTTTAACTCTGTAATGTTGTGACGTAAGTGTTGAGTAATAATAAGAATAAATTAATTTTTTTAGTCGGATAATATAGGAACACATTATTTGTATGCTAAACTATTTAAAAAGTTTATTTTAACTGGAGAATGACCCTACTATTGTTTCGATTTATTTATAACTATGGGGAATCACTTGAAAATGTTCGATAAAGAAACTTTTTTACATCCTATATCACAACGCCAATTTTTTTATGTATATTAGTTAAAAATATATCTATTTTAGGCAAAATTACTCAGTCCAACTTGGGGATCGCCGTTTTCACCGGGACACACTCAGTATTCGTACAATCTCTACAGCAACCTGGCCAACCTCAGCAACCTGAACAATTTAAACAGCATGAGTCACGCGTACGCCAATGACGTGATCGATCTAACAGAACAGTTGGCAGAACTGGCACTAGACAGGAAACCGATCAAGAGGCCGCCATCTTCATATTTGTGTCATTTGTGCTTCCAGAAGGGACATTATATTAAGGACTGTCCACAGGTGAGAATTTTAATAATAAAAGATATGTATACAGTCTCGTGTGTACTAGCAAAATGGAAACGTATTCAAAAAGATCTTTTTATAGAGGATGTGTTAAGTAAGAGGTTATGTAACGGTGGTTAAAATCGACTTTTTTATTTTAAATGCAACATCCTGTATATTTGTGAATTCTTGGTTTATTCAGAAGACTAGAAATATTTTATGTACCTATACAAAGATAAGGTATCCTTATAGATAACAAGTTGTCAGAGTTATTGATGTTTTTGATGCACTTGTGCAATAATTTGCACAGAAACTGACGTGGAATAGCCAATAACCAAAATTAATGTTAAAAAAGTTAAATAATGCATTTTTTACTTTGTTTATGAAAATAAATATAGAGTATATAATATTTTCATGACAAGACACAATAGAAAAGCAATATACAGGGTGTCCCGTTAAAAATAAATAACTTCGGTTTATATTTTGAGAACGACGTCTCCCAGCGAAAAAACAGTTACGCCACTGGATTTTACGTGAAGGATTCTGTGGTACACTCAGTTTTCACCTTTTCGATAAGTTATGAGATAACCGAGATACAAGGCGAGTCGAAGAATTCAACAAAATTCGCCCTATATTATACCGGGTGCGTCTCAGAAGTGGCTCAGTTCTATAATTTTTTTATTTTTCAGATAAAAAAACGAGATTTGGTATGTTAGTATATGACATAAATTGGGATTGCTTGACGTATTTAATTGTTTTTGATCACTTTCTGTTTCACCGGAAATGACTACACGTTTTGATTTTTAAATGGCACCCTCGGTATTTTTTTACTTTATTCGATAGAACATGATATTCTGAATAAAATGACATATCATGTCAACTTTTGACATTCTCGCTTAATAAAAAATTGTATTTTAAATTTCAATCTAGAGTGCCATGGCCATGGCTATGTTAAAAACACTAATTCTTAATCAAGGAGTGTCTTGTCCTGGCCGGTTAAAAGATGCCCAAATCGTATTTTTAATCATATCTCAATTTTTTCAAATGGAACGAGGGTGGCTCATTAGCATATTTGGAAAAAGCATTTTTTACGAATAATTTGATACCACACACTTGGTATTTCGAGTCAAATTTTCGTTACGAACAAGCAAGTTATATAATTTCAAATAAACCATATGTGAAAATGTCAAAAGTTAACATATGATATGCCATTCTATTCAGAGTGTTATTTTCTATCGAATAAAGTAAAAAAATACCTAGGGTGCCATTTAAAAATCAAAAGTTCTAGACATTTCCGGTGAAACAGGAAGTGACCAAAAACAATTGAATACGCCAATCAATCCTAATTTATGCCATATACTAACATACCAAATCTCGTTTTTTTCATTGAAAAAATAAAAAAAATTATAGGGGTGAGCCACTTTTTAGACGCACCCTGTATAATCTAATAGGAATAAAAACATTTTAAACACCCTGTATATAATGTCAAAAGTTGACATATGATATGTCATTCTATTCAGAGTGTTATTTTTTATCGAAGAAAGTAAAAAAATACCTAGGGTGCCATTTAAAAATCAAAAGTTCTAGACATTTCCGGTGAAACAGGAAGTGACCAAAAACAATTGAATACGTCAATCAATCCTATAATTTATGCCATATACTAACTAACATACCAAATCTCGTTTTTTTAAGTGAAAAAAATAAAAAAAAATTATAGGGGTGAGCCACTTTTGAGACGCACCCGGTATAATCTAAAAGGAATAAAAACATTTTAAACACCATGTATATAAAGAAAGGACACTAAATTTTCATTTTTTTTAAATCAGTGGAGTAGTTTTGGAATAAAAATATAAACTATAAACTTAACGTTAAATATTTCCAGTTCTATAATTTTCACCCTGTATATCTTGAAAAGTGTTTAGAGGAATGAATGGATAGTTCACACTTTTCTTCTAGTCGGTGTCATAATTTATCGGTTTTTATTGCCTTATTTTGAGAACGCCTTTAAGTGTAATTTATTTGACCGTATATATTTCTTTTTCCCTTTCATGTCAGACCTACCTGAACAGATGTTTGCTTTTCTGTCAGTTATGTTACATAAGTGGGTGATATTTTTACAGTTTAATCACTTTAAAGAACTCCAATTTGTATTGGCACAAAATAGAAAAATAAAGTCTTTGATGCCACTTTACATTAAGGCGGGTTCTCACTTGTCAGTTTCGCTGACGCAGTCTGACTGATTCAGTGATACTGAACAAATAATGAACGTCAGAACACATTTTCATGTTAAATGATCGGTAAATTCGTACTTTCAGTTAAAGTGAAAACCAGTTCTACTTTTTTTAATTTTTGACTGATCATTATCGAATAATGAATAGAAACTGAAGCGTGAGAACTACATTTTCGTAATTTGTTCAGTTTACAAGTTAAAGTTAATTAATCTCGAAAAAAATCCTTTATGGGTATTTTGGCACAGCACTGCAAGAAAAGCTACATAATAAAATACTTATTTTTTGTAAACACTTCTGCGTTAAACCTAAACGGATACTGCTTGTCAGAAGTTATGTTTACAGTTATACAAATTTGCCTAACAAAAAAAAAAGCTTAACGTTTCGGAAATTCTATCGTCGGAAGCAAAAAAAATCAAAGAATAAAGAAAAAAAACTATTTAAAATATTTAAATCCAAACTATTATGAGAACACTTTAGTTTTTTTTTAAAGCAGATACGTCTACAAGAAACCGTTGACGTTCTGTTAAAATAGAACGTCAACGGTTTCTTGTAGACGTATCTGCTTCAAAAAAACGTTTTCTTCTTTTCTGATTCACCAGAATATTCTGTAATTCATTTGCTAATTGTAAACAAACTTCGCGAACACCTAGTTTCAATTTTGTTTTAACCATTTTCATGTCTACGAAATCACCACGTTAAAATGTTTGGACCAACTGAATACTGAATGTAGCAAAATATGAAACGTGTGAATACAATCGTTGATTTTTATTTTTCATTGATAATGAATCAGTCAGACTGCGTCGGTGAAACTGACAAGTGAGAACCCGCCTTTAGACAAAAATTGTTTCTGTGTAAAAAAATTATAGCTGATATTGTATATTTCCTATTTATAATATATAATATTTTTCCGTGATTTTTTTTGTTCTGCACACTAATTATAGAAAGACTAAAAAAGGATAGAACTTTTCCAGATACACAAATCTGTTTCCAAAACAGTATTTTTTCTCAAATTTTAAACTAAACCATTTAAAAATAAGTTTTACCAAACCAAACCAAATCAACCTTCTTAAGGCCTATTGCCAGTAAGCGCCATTAAAAAATAAAGAAGTGTACGGGCCAGGTAATTGACATCGCCGAAATTATCATCGATTGTCATTCCTCAGCCGTCTTTGACGCCGTTTTTTTATCGTATGGTACAATACCACAGTATAAAGAATAATAATTCCATTCTGTGCAATATACTTTTTTACTTATTTTTTAGAAATAAGTTTTAAATTTATGTACGAAGTAATAAGTATACAGGGTGGCGCACCTCATTCGCCTCGGTTGATTATACGAAAACGGAAAGATGTAGAAACAAAATATTTTATGGATACTATGTGGGGAGGCAATGTGCATAATTTAAAAAGTAAAATTTATTTCTCTGGCTTCAGAGTCAGCACAAGAATTAACTCTGAAAAGTAATGTACACGGTGTTGACAAACTTTTTTATTATGACATGCATGTTTAAATATCTTTAAATATCTCAAAAACCAAAGCATTTAAACATATTAAACACTTATAATAAATTCCTTATTTTATGCTCAAGAATCCAAAATTGAAATAAAATACTTGGTATGTGTGTTCCCTAAGAAAAAATATAACTTTGGTATGGATCTTAGTTCTGACACACCCTGTACATTTGAGAATAATTTTAAATTATGCACATTGCCTCTCTAGATATACTCATAAAAAATTTGTTTCTACATATTTCCGTTTTCGTGACTGAGGTGCGCCACCCTGTATAGGTACCAAAAGTGACACCCTATACGAAGTAAAACAAAAATTATTGTGTATTTTAGATTTTTGACTCGAAAAAGTCTCTAAGATTATATATTATTATGTCATTACTTAATTATGAATTAAAAGACTCTCTCTCTCTCTCTCTCTCTCTCTTAAACAATATTAAAACACACCCTCTATCTCAAAACATGATTTTTATTTTAACAGCTAATAAATTCTCTCTGCCTTAAATAGAATCTTTTACGTATACCCCGTATAATCTATACACATTTTAATAGAGCATACCTAAATTTCTAAATAGGCACTCTTGAGACTCTTGATAGGGGCATTTCAGTTCCTTTTTTTAAGGTAATAAACTCTAGTTTATTATTCTGAGCTGGTCATAAAATTGTCAACCTATATTTGAAAGAAAGAACTGCACTTTTAAAGTGTTTTTATAAGGAATTATTAAACGAGAAACATCTTAGTTAGTTTATTAGTTTTTTTACGATGTGTCATGTTTAAATTATTTCAAATTAATTAGTGTGACTAAAAGAAATCAGTACATACATTCAAATAAAATGGAATTTAATTTATATTTTTATAAAAGTTTCTCAGTCCTTTCTTGTCATATGAGAACGTTTTTTATCGAAAAATCTACTCCACTTCGTAATGTGCAAATTATGAACATTAGTTATCAGGGTATAAACAATTTTATTTATTACTTGTACCAATATCAATGGCAAAATTATCTGAAATCCTTTCAGGTTTATTGCTTAGCCATCAACAAAGTGCGATAACTATTGTTTTCTTTTTATTAATGCCAATGCAACTGCGTTTTCATCGAAAAATAGCGATAGAAAGAATTTAAAACAATAATAAATTAGATTTATACTTGCCATTTGTTTTTTAGTCTGGTACTTCTTATGTTTAACGATAATAAATTTAGATGTTTACACGTTACAATATTCAACATTTTAAATTTAATAAAATAGATAATACAGTCATGTAGTGAAATTAATAATTATTCATTGTTAATCTTTAAAATCAAAAATTTAAGATGAAAAACTAATCAATTTTGAATTACATAAAAATACCTTAGGCAACACATAATACACTTACTAAATCGGTCCTCTATTATCCACTAGGCACAGTAACTTTCGGAAGGAGATAGATTTCAAACTGTTTGAAATGTTTCTGTTGTAGTTTCAAACTTCGGCTATTTTTGACTAGGTGGTGCTATGATCAATTATGTAGTAAACTTTAGCTATGCGCTATGAGATGGCGCTGTAATCTACAACTCGTTCAAAAAATGTTATATTTTTTTCTTGACAATTTAATTTTGACTGATTTTGACTTGTCTTCAGTAGGGTCTTAACTGATCCTATTTAGCGAATGATGAAATCAGGATATGATCAAATGATTATACTCCGCTTGCTGTTTGAGGATCGCAACCCTCACTCAGTAATTGACTGACGCTAACTGAAGATCACCAATAAATTAATTCAAAATTAAAAGTCTTCTATGAAGAAAAGTGCAATTTAATTTTCAGTACACTGTTAATAGTGTTAGTGATTTTTTACTGATTTTCTGACTTTCTGTTATTTTAAGTCAATACTTGACACTTGACTGATGATCTGATGACCATCTAATGACAAAGCCTGAAAATCGTGGCAGCCATGGTCGGATCAGATGTTCAGATGATGTAAATTGAGTAACAGAGTTAATCAGAGATTGCTAAAGATCTTTCTGATTCTGACTTCTGATCAACTTTTGTTAATTATTTATGATTATGACAAGAAATAACTCAGGTAATAGTCAAGTACTGAAAGAAAAATGATCAGTGATTTTTGACCTGAGGCTAGCTAAAGATCATCAAGATCAAAGAATCGATCTCGCAGAAACAAAAAAAAATTCCCTGTATAATTAGATTATGGAGTTCCACCGTGGGAGTCAAAAATTCACAATGTTTAAAGTTTTTTTTTGTAAACTTTTTAGGCCCGTCCAAAAGGCGAAGGAAAAACTCCATACCAAGGAAGAAAAAGATGTTTTGGTGAATATAAATGTCCCAAATGCAAACGGAAATGGATGTCCGGAAACTCTTGGTCAAACATGGGTCAAGAGTGCATCAAGTGCCATATCAACGTCTATCCACACAAACAGGTAGGCATCCCCCCCCCTTAAGATCTATAAATTGGGTTAAATATTAGGCTTTTGGGTTAAAAATGGCGTCCTAAAAAGCATATTTTACATTACCTAATTTTTATTTGCCCCCTCCCTAAAATAAATTCCTGTATCCGCCCCTGATCGGGGGACATACTGATGTATAATCATTCAAAAAAAAGGCAAAAAATATGGAACATGGACACACAATTCTTAGTGGTCTTTTAATTGCAACGTTGTTCCTGATTTTGTGAAGTGTTTTTAGCAACAAAATATTATAATGGCTATTTGATATACAGGATGGTCCGAACTGTATTCCGGAAACTTCAGCAGCATATTCAAAAGGGTGCAAGAACGGTAAACTAACAGGATTTCTCATCCTCATGAGGGTGCAGCCACACTATCCTAAAAACGGCGTATCGGCGTAACGGCGTAATGACCTTGAATAGATTTCCAGTAATTCTATTGGCTGAAAAATTCATCTGTCAGAAATTTTATCTGTCAAATTCATCTGTCAAAAATTTCAGCCAATAGAATTGCTGGAAATCGATTCAAGGTCGTTACGCTGTTACGCCGTTTTTAGGATAGTGTGGCTGCACCCTGAGACGTACATTCGCCTCTTCCCGCGCTTCAGCTGACAGTTGTGACGTCAGTGTAGCCCTTGTCAAAGCCTTCGTGGCCTTGATAGTGTGTATTATTAGTTGCCTATGGTAAACTTATAAAAATAACAGCTGAGAAATTTTGAGTTAATTATTTTGTCAATTTTAAATGTGAAAAAGGTGTCTTTAAAGTTTTTAGAGCTATAGAGTGTATAAATACGTTCATTTTGTGTTGTGGATTGTGACAAAGTGCATACTAAGTGCCCACGATTTTGTTTATTAATTATTTTAAAGCAAAATATGGAAGTACTCTAAAAAGAATGCTTGCAAAAGGTGATGCTGGGAACTGCTGTTCTTAAAAATGCATTATCCAAGTATTTAATACGATTTATGCAGTTAATTTTCTATACTGCATACATATAAGGTGTTTAAATAAATAAACTAAATAATGAACGTTTTGCATTCGGTAACCAATAATGCACGTGTGTGTATTATTGGTTGCCGGATAAGGAGTAATAACCATGACAAGAGCAGTCCTATTAGGTTAACTGTTCTTGGTAAGGGTGTAGAAGTTTCATTTTTATTTCGATTTTTTCCAAATAATTTCTGAAGTAGCGTCAATATTTGGATGAAAATTTGTGTCTGGGAGTTTTTTGACATGAGAAATTTGATTTTGATGTCAATATGACTCCTACTTGTAGAGAGCGCCACCTACATATTTTTAAGAGCAATAACTTTTCGTCCGTACCTGTATTAAACTACTGGGTAAAAAATATACATTTACGACTTTTTTTACGTAGAAAAGGTCTCTTGTTAAAAATCGCTGTAATGGTTCTCGAGATATTTGGAATCGAAATTATCAATACTATACTTGTCATTATTGACATAAATTAAACATATTGACCATAGATAAAAGACTTATACTATTAAATAGATAGGCAGCTTATAATACATTTCAATTTTATTATACAAGGGCGCCTCTGGTAGATGGAGGAAGAAATACTAATGGATGAGAGGGGTGCGGGGAAGGGGGGTTGTTTTAGTTAATTTAAAATAAATTTAGACATACATGTTAGAACACTTTGTGTGCTTTTAATTAGGTCGAACATATTATAAACGATAAATCAACTGAATTAAAAGCATACAAAGTGTTCCTATATGTCGGATATTAATTAAAAAATATATTAAAAATACTAGAAATAGTATATATTAAGTTGTTACAGTTATAATTTAATCTTTGGCGGTTTTCAGCAAATAGCAGGCAGTTTTACATAATTTGCCTCTCTTTGAAGTGAATTGGAAACGGCTAGGTATATAATTTTGGTGTAGGCAAGATTCCCAGTTTGTTTCCGTTTGGGACCTGAAATAATAAAAACAAATTAAATCAGATGTAATCATCTGCTGATCATGCTAATATAAAACGCGCGTCCTTAATTCCCACATGCACCGTAAAAAAAATTAAATAACTGCAATAGAGATGTACTATGTAGTTATTTAGTGCAAGTAGCATTTATTAGCAGTACTAATTTAAAAAATCTATAACTGTAAGTAGATATGTTTAATTTACTTACCATTGTATCCTTCGGAAACCAGGTGTACAACAATTAAACTTCATGATAAAAAATAATTAAGAGTTATTACAAAACACAAATTGTCCCACCATTTTTAAAAAACATTGTCTAAAACAGAATACTGGCAAAAAATCTGAAGGAATTTAATTTTACAATAATTCGACAAATCAAAACGAAATCAAACCGTAAAATCACAACAAACGCGTCTCTGAGTGACAGTTAAAAATCAAATTTTATTATTGTCAGATATTGACATTTGCATTGTTAATATTGACAGTTTTAATATTTTGCGCCTCTGCATCTTGGAGGAAAAACTATTTTTAATGAACTGTCATTTCCATTTAAGTTTCCCAGCCATGATATTGACTAAATAGTTATTAGACTGATGGAAAATATGATCATATTTTCCATCAGGGATGGAAATCATAAATTTGAAATGTATTTGTGCCAAAAGTTCAACAGAAACTGTTTTATCGTCATTTTTTCGTAGAAAAATTTATATTTATATGTATATTTATGAAAAATAAAAAGTTCCTAAATTCATCATTTCAGTCAAATATATAACTACTGTCAATATGTTTATTTTTTGTCAATAATGATATGTATTGATTATATCCATTCTAAATATCTTGAGAACGGTTGCTCGTAGCGATTTTTACCAAGAGACATTATTATGTAAAAAATGACGATATGTTTGACTTAATAGTTTTATACAGGTACGGACAAAAAGTTATTACTCTTCAAAACAGTTAAAACACATGTAGGTGGCGCCCTCTACAAGTAGGAGTCATATTGACATCAAAATCAAATTTCTCTGGTCAAAAAACCCAGACCCCAATTTTTGTCCAACGACGTTTTGTTTATTTGTGTGTATTGACGTCGTTACTTCAGAGATTATTTGGAAAAAATCGAAATAAAAATGAAACTTCTACACCCGGTATCTCCGAAACTAAGCATTTTAAGATATACATTTATACGAAGTATAAATGTATATCTAATAATAAGAATATGCTGCCGAAGTTTCCGGAATACAGTTCGGACTACCCTGTATTCTTCGGACTCTCTGTATTCGGACTACCCTGAACTGTTAAAAATTATAATTGGTTATAATTTCTAATTTCTAGCGACCGTTAGAGAAGCCAGATGGTCTGGATGTTTCGGACCAATCGAAGGTTCATCCTCAACATTTGTGCCAAAAATGCAAAGAGCTTGGATATTACTGCAGACGAGTACAATAAGAAGAAATCTATTAAACCAAAGGCTTTATTATTTTTATTGTTTTTTTAGAGATACTTGAAAATTTATTTTTTATTTTTATACTTTTGTTTTTTTTATTATTATTTGCATCTGCATTTTGTTGCCATATTGTTTTAGTATTATTTGCTAGTACTTATGTTTTCATCTAATTATTTTCATTATGGGGACATATTCCGAAAAACTATCTGCTTTTAATATTATTCTCATCAGGAATATGATCCCATATATTACTCACTAGATTTTTCCTAAAAATAAAATCTAAAACATTTTTTTTGTTATAGTATCCTATAGTATCTATCTGACTTGTTTTATGTACTTAAATTTTAGTAATATTGTTATATTATGTATTGTCTATTCCGGATTTGTTTTTATTTTTCGACAAAGTCACATATTGACAAGTAAAATATGAAGAGCAATCACGAAGATTTGAAATATATGTATTCTATATGGATAACTGCAATATTTTCCTATTTATTTTGGGTTGTGATATGTGATTGTAAAGATAATATTCATTTTTACAATTTTTTATATACTCTTATTTCATTTTATTTGTATAAATTAGATGGTAAAATACTATATACTTATTCGTGTCTGTATATTGTATATAAATATTGTATTGTTATGAGAGAAAACATATTTTTCCAAGAAAAAATACATATCGACTTATTTTTGTAACCCATATGTTAGTGCTGTTATAAATGTTTATATAAATACTTAAATTTAACATTTTATAAATGTAATTTACTTTCACTTAATTTCCTATGTTAATTTGATTACAAATAACATTTTTGTTTAACATTTCCGAAGATATAGAGTATAATAAACGTTATCAATAAAATATTCTGATTTTATTTTGATTTGTATTTTATAAAATCGATGCTAAAATAACATAAGCCAGTGAGTGATAAGATAATTTCTAAAAATAGTTACACAAAATAATCATGATCTCGTTGATTAACCACTTTTTTCTCAGATTTTTTTTAGTAAAAAATCACATGATTCAAAAAGAACTCTTGCGGTCAGTTAAAGGAATCTGCGATGCGTCAGATGTTCTGTGGTGTTCTGTGGTCAGATGTCAAATCAAAATTGTCAATCCACATGTCAAACGTTTTCGTTTTTTTAAAATACATTTTTTAAATAGTGGTCTATTTTTAAACTGTTAAATCAGAAGTAAGTCTATTTCTAAATGCTGCCCTTCTGTGTTAATTAAAGAAATCTAAGCCGTTATAATGAGGTAAATATGTCTTCTTTTAAATATTGTTTCTTAACCTTAACAAATTCATTTAAGCAATTTATCAGAGTAGAAGTTGAAAGAAAAAATAGTGTTAATTTATTACATAAACTTCCTAGAAAACCTATTATTGTTATATTTCACTTAAATTAGTGTGTGTTTTTTATTCTTTAACCAGCAATGGATTACTGTATTGAATTCATTTGATATATCTTTCTTAACTAATTCTATTATCTCTGCTCAACTTGTTGTTTCTTAAGAAATATAAACTAATAGCTATTTTTTAGAACTTTTACAAAAACGTTAACCTTAGTGTTGGGACTTTCTGCATTTGGATTTACAAGCTATATGTTATATCTGTTTTTAAAAAAGGAAGAGGAAGATGATTTACTCGAAGGCTATGTTCATAAAACGAATTTCAAAACTATGGAAATTAAAGTGCCAAAAAATGTAGTAAGAAGTCTTATTGGTCGAAATGGAAGTAATATTAAACAAGTTGAAGTATACAATATTATTATCAGTTGTTTATGTATTGTATAATATAACTTCTCAATTTAGGAACAATCAAATACAAAAATTAATTTTAAAGACAGAGTTGATGAAGAAGATAAGATTTGTATCATAAGAGGCACTGCAGATTCGTGTAACGTTGCATACCACTTAATTCAAGATTTTATTGTTAACCAACCGGTATTGGAAACTGAAGACTTATGGATTCCAATAGCCTGTGTTAAAAATGTGATAGGAAGAGGTGGAGAAAAAATTAACGAAATTAGGAGCCTCTCGGGTTCAAAATTAACCCTAGTAGAAGATGAGAAAGGTGTGACAGCTAAACGAATGGTTATCAAGGGTATGTTTTGAATATTGCACAATATTATTTATTTAATTATTAAGTAACAATGTTTTATAGGAACTAGGGAACAAATTAATGTAGCAAGATCACTTATCGAGGAAGTAGTTGAACAGTCTCAGCTCTGTCAGCAAGTTATTCATGAGAGTTTGTCTAAGAGAGAACCAAGATTACCAGCACGGTCACCTGAAGTTGTAAAAAAGGTAGAAACTCCAAAATATGAGAAAATAACTCCAGTACCAGGTATTAAGCTTTCTTTTATTTTGAAAATCTCCCAGTATTGTATTTACTACTTTAGGCCAGCCTGATAATCAATTTGAAGTATATGTATCAGCAATGGAAAACCCATCAAAGTTTTGGTTACAAATAGTTGGACCAAAAGCCACAGAATTAGATTGTCTAGTTGAAGAAATGACTGAATATTATGGTAAACTGGATAACAGAGCTCAGCATGTTTTAGATGAAATTAACAATGGTGATTTAGTAGCAGCTGTATTTCAGTACGACAATAAATGGTAGTTCTTTAAATTAAAGAAAGATTACAGATGATAATTTTAATTTTTTCTAGGTACAGAGCTGAGGTTCTCGAAACTAAATATAAATCAGATGAAAAAGTAGCAAAACTCTATTATGTAGATTATGGAGATACAGATTATCTGCCTTGTAAAGACTTGTACGAACTAAGAACTGATTTTCTTAGATTACATTTTCAAGCTATTGAATGTTTCTTAGCTCGAATTGGTAGGTTCTTCTTTAACTGTATGTATAGAAATATATAAACATTTTTTTTAGATCCTGTAGGAGAAAAATGGTCTGAGGAAGCTATAGATCGTTTTGAGGAATTGTCTCATGTGGCTCAATGGACTAAGCTATCAGCCCGAATAAATGGATATTCAATAAAAGAGAAAACAAGAGCTAAAAGGGAAGGTTCTCCAGTGCCAGGTGTTTTATCTCAGTTTTTATTTAGGGAAATTTTCCAAAAAACATTATTTTTCAGGTATCGATTTATATAACGTTTCAAACGAGCAAGACGTTGATGTGGCACAGGAATTAGTCAAAGGAGGCTTTGCCATATTTAAGAAAGGTTCAGACTTGAGATCGAGCAGCCGAACGACAAGCACAAGTAACATAAGTGTGGCAAGTAGTACTTAAAAAATCAGTGAGTTGATGCAATGAAGGTGATTTTAATTACACATTTAACATCTACTTAAGCTTTACATGGCAAGACTGTAGTTCATAGAAAATGCATGATTTTTTATATATTATGAATATATCCTTTAAGGAGAACCATTATTGTATTTCCATGATGAAATATGGCTATATTTTATTGTACCTGTTAAAATGGGGATATAAAAATAAATCTTAATTATATGATTAAAAATCCCTGTTTAGATATGGAAATGTCGTTTTTTCTGTATATAGAGAAATAACTTGGTTGTCTTTTGTTAAGTCCTGTGTAAATAATTATTAAATCTGTTTTGATCTGATAAGTTTCGATAAGCCGCTATCTACAGGGTTGCCATATTATTCTACACTGTCGTACATAAAGCTGATATCAGAGAGGAAAAAAATTATAAAATTGGCAAAGTTAATTTTTGGAAAATATTAAATTTTATAATTCTTTAAATTAATATTCTAAAAGTAGTCTTCCAAGGAAGAATTAACTAAACGAGTAACAAAGGGTTCCACTGTATGCTGACTTTATGGAGACACTGTATAATATGGAGAGAATAAAAATTGATTTGGTTTATTGAAAATGTTAATATTTTACGATTATATGCTAATTTGTTAGTATCAAGTTAGGAGTTTAGGAAACATTTATTTACATACAGAAATAGGTTTTTGGCCATATACTTTGGATTTTGGTCCTGTGAATGTACAGTGTTTCCAAATTTCATAAATATACAGAAAATTCGTTGTATGGTGTTAAGTTAGAAAATTCCTTTTAAAGTAATTACAATTTTCTTAAGGTGCGTTCACACCGGCTGCGGCTGCGCCGTTCCGCGCGAAACATTTTTTAATATGTACAGGGTGAGTCAACGATAGAGTAAAGTCCATTATCTCTTTTGTTTCGCGGTTTACAAAAAAAATTTAAACATAAAAGTTATAGGGAAGGTTAAGATACACATTTTAAAATTATTCTAGAGTATACAAGGTGTTTCAAAAAAGTGTGGCGAATATAACATATGCTTTTTTAAATGCAATACCCTATTTTTTATTTTATTTTTAGATTCTGCGTAAAATTTCATAACTTTTTTATATATATTGTTATATACCTAAAATTAATACTTTTTGTGATAGTTCCATTTGTTTAAACAAATGTTAAATTACAGTGTGGTAAAAAATTGTCAATGGTGCCATTGTTTCTGAAGAGATGAAAAAAAAAGATATATGTAAAGATATTTTAGCTAAATGATACAGGGTGTTCAAAATATATTTATGAATTTCAACTATTTAAAATTAAAAAAATCTCAACTTTTTTAAATGGGACACCCTATATATTATTATTTTTTCTAATAGATTTTACAAAACTCTTCAACTTTTATTAATTATGTCATATACCTATTTTTAATAGTTCGCGATTTATTCCAATTTTTTCTATTTTTACCCATATGTTTAATACAATTACCCTATAAAATCATAGTTGCATAGTTGCCATGATAAAACAAACTATTTATTACTTATCTTTAACAAGTACCTTAATAATTAGTTATAATTGCTGGTATTTGTTAAAATTAGTTAATTTACTCAAATAAATTAAAATCGCAGTCGTGAATTGCTTGGTATATTTCTATATTATGAAAGATGACACTTGGATTTTCCGTCGGGGCGAATAGCCACAGATTAAGGCAATACTAGACGCAAGCAAAGTAGCAAAGCAAAAAAGTATATAATATATAGTACGCAGTAATACAGTACGTAGTAAAAAAGCAAAGTACTATATAATATATAGTACTGAACCATATTGAACCAAAAAATATGTTTTTCTTGGCTTGTTCGTGTGTATCAGTCACATTGACTAATTCATTTCAGGAAAATCTGTAACTATTATCTCTACCATTTATACTTATTACAACAAATTAAACTAAAATATAAATTTTGTTCTTAACTTGCTTAACAGACAAGAAATTTTGATAATTATTACTTTTCGTCATGGTAACTATGATGTTATAGCGTAATTGTATTAAAAATATGGGTAAAAATAGAAAAAATTGGAATAAATCGGAAATTATTAAAGATAGGTATAAGACATACTTAATAAAAGTTGAAGAGTTTTGTAAAATCTATCAGAAAAAATAATAATATATAGGGTGTACTATTTAAAAAATTTGAAATTTCTTAATTTTAAGTAGTTGAAATTCATAAATATATTTTGAACACCCTGTAGTATCTAACTAAAATAGCTTTCCATAGGTCTTTTTCTATATCTCTATTAAATTCTCCTACCAAATTTTAGTTGTCCCACTTCAGAAACAATGCCATCACTGATAATTTTTTATCACACTGCAATCTAACATTTGTTTAAACAAATTTAAATATTACAAAAACTATTAATTTTAGGTATATAACATTATATATAAAAAAGTTATGGAATTTTACGCACAATCTAAAAATAAAATAAAAAACAGGGTGTTGCATTTAAAAAAACATATGTTATATTCGCTACACTTTTTTGAAGCACCCTGTATACTCTATAATAATTTTAACATGTGTATCTTAACCGTCCCTATAACTTTTATATTTAATATTTTTTTGTAAACCTTGAAACAAATGAAATAATGGACTTTACTCTATCGTTGACTCACCCTGTACTTGAAAAGTGTATTTTTTTAGCGCGCACAAAAGTATATGTTAAAAAAATGATTTGCGTGGCGCAGCCGGGGTGAACGCACCTTTACATATTACATACACCGTGCTGAGAAGTTTTTTATAATTTATATTCAGAATTATACAGGGCGAGTCTTAATTAGGTGTAAACATTTTCAGGGCTAAATAAAAAATAAAAGAAACATATTTCCTCTTTAACGGTTTTCAAGTAAGTCCAAAATAACCAAGTTATTTTACTTTGAAAATTTCCAAAAAAAATGATTTTTTGTTTAAATTTTGTGAACCACTGGATCTTTTCTGGGTTTTCTTTCTTGTAAAATTTAATCTACTACCTATGTTGACAAATTTCAAGAAATTATATTTTTTAACTAAAAAAATGTTTCTCAAAACTCAAAAAATTTCAAATTTTCAAATTTTTTTTCCAGAAAAAACCTCATAGTGTTTCTGGAGTTGAAATACACTACACCTTAAATATTTGCACTTTTTTAAGACTCAACCAGTAGTGTGTACCAGGTTAACCTTTTTTTACTTCGTAAATTATGTTTTTTTTAATATTCCCAAAAACACGCTAAAATCATACAACTGGCAATACCAATAGTCGCTAACAAAGTGATGCAAAAAATTTTACGATCAAGAAGTGTTTTGTAGGATTGACAGATAAAAAATTGTGATGGAAATTTACATTAGAATTGTTTTACTCTCAATGTAACTTGATCATAAAATGTTATAATCATGGCGCAACTAGACACCGACTTTTAGGGGGCTCAGCTCACTTAAAAGATAATATTGATGGGATGGGCAAAGCACCACCTAGCCCCCTCTAGTTGCGCGTTGCGCCACTGATCATAAGGCTACTTTAGAATACTTATCAAATACCCCAAAAATAGTTGACTGCTGGTTAATTTTCTAAGTTAAAAATATTGAAACGTAATTCGCATCTTTTTTTTTATTTCACTTTACTCCAGAACTTAGTATTATTTATTTTTTTAAGAAGAGTTATCTTTCGTGTAGCGTTTTAAGAGTTTTTTTTTTAAATAAAGTTAATGTTTTTACCTAAACATGTATTTTATTCACCCAAGATTATTTAAACACTACAAAGTTAATTGTTAGAAATATTTATTATTGTAAATGATCACAGATTTGAAACATCGTAGTGGAGGAAATGATTTGTAAAAAATTACCGCGCTGACAAGTCTTGCTATTGGGTCGCCCAAGTAGCATTTTCACGACTTTGTTTACTAAACACAACGTTGGATTAGTTACAAAAAATAGTTAGCTCCGTACCTTGGGTATTAAAATAAATGTAAACGTTGTTGTAACGTTGTGCCGACGTTGAACTAGTACTACAACAAAGTAAAAGCTTCTGCGACGTCGAATAAACGTTGTCTTGTAACCTTTTTTGCTTAAGTGATCTTTAGGTGATTCGGACAACGTAGTTACAATTTTGAGTTGAGATCATAGTAGTATCACAGATTAGGTATCCTATAAGTATACAGATAAAAATCTTGTCCCTAATTCGTGGTACGAAAATTGTTTTTATGACTATGAGCAAACGAGTAAATTTTCTTGTGCGTAAAAATAAACTCCCGTTTAAACAGCGTAATAACTGGGCCGGTCAGGCGCTGTGCACAATTACTTATATACTGAATACACAGTTTGCTAAAAAATTCATAAAAATAGCGCTAAAAATAACAAAAATATTAGGCTTTAAATTTGACCAAAAATGTCTCCGTTGCGTTTTTATTGCATCTGACTGTATAAGGAAAATTACGACATAAACAAATAAAGTATAATGAGACATAATTAAATACACCCTGCCCTAGAGTACTGGATTTAAATTTTATGTTTATGCGGCGTGACTCTGTCCAACGTGACGAAACTGCCATATCACCTTTCACGTCTCTTAGCAATGTGCACTGTTTCTCGGTTTATTTCATACGTTTGGCAACGTTTTTTACACTTCTCTCTTTGTTCAATACATTATAAATGCATTGGAATCTTGTTACATAGGAAAATCTCGACCAAAACCCAAACTTACTGATCCTAGTATAAAATAATAAATGAAAAAAAAGTCCAAACAAAAAGACATTTATTTTTCTGTTTATTTCTTTTTATACCATGTTATGTTTCGATCATGCTATATAATCTATAATATATAAAAACAAGAACTAAATATTTCAGAATAAGGAATTATATCTAGAAACAAAAAAAATTAACCTTTTTATTTTGGATTTAATAAAAATATAATTATATCTAGGTACGTTAAATTTTCTTGTTACGTATGCGCAAATTCTAAAAATACAAAATATTTACAAAAGATTTTAAAAGCATTTTCAATAATATACGCCCTTTAAAAAAGGACTTTATAAATGTCCTGGGCATTACAATATTATTATTAATCTGGAATTTATGGTAATTTTTTGTCATAGGAGTTTTTTTTCTTTAAAAAAAAATCCTGACAATTACCATATTGTTCCCCACCCCGAAAATAGAAAAGAAAAAAACAACTACCTGTATTATACGATGTATCGGGTTTTCAGAGCTTTATTCTATATAAATCAAATAATCAGTACAGAAAAAGACAATTTACAATGTATAAAAGAACAACGTTACCTGGATCCGTCGTCTATGCGAGAAAGTTGACAAAAATGAAAAAATCGATAAATTACACGTTTCAAATAATTATGTCCGTATTTTTTTGTATTAAAGTTATTTTAATAGTTTTGTTTTCTTCGCTAAATTTAGTTTCCCATAACAGTTTACAGAACGCGCGCTACTCGGCATGCGCTATCTTTTATAATTGATAACATATACAATATAATCTAAGCATTTTGTTTTTTATGATATTATTATTACGATTGACAAATATGAAAAATTACAGGAAATAGTCGGGAGTTCGGCGAGTCACGTGGGGTTCCCCGCGTCTCGGTGCTGGATCGAACTGTAAGCTGAAACAAAAACACAACGTTAGTTTTAAAGCTGAGTAGGTCGAGTAAAAACCTAAAAACTAGTTTTTTCCGTGTAAAATACTATACGATCGAAAAAAAAAACGGTGTCAAAGATGGCTGGGAAATGACAAACGATGATTATTTTGGCGAGGTCAAGCCCTAGGTCTATTCTGTTTACGTGGAATCCGAAGCGGCGGTCCTCGGCTATATCACGGTTAATCAATGACTAAAGAATATAAGGACATGTAACGCCCATATACGGGCTGCAGCAGAATTTGTGACCTTAGACGCCATTCTTTTGATGGCAACGAATGAGTCATCAGCTGGTCACCAGCGACAATTTTAGCGATTTTTAATAGTTTGTGTGTAGTGAACTTCGTATAAACTTTATTACAACGGTATTAGTTGTTCAGCTTTCAAGTGTAAAAGCCGTAGCGATAAGAAAAAGCCAGGAGTTACGTTTCATAGGTAAATAAACAGTTATTAATTATATAAATTATATAGGTAATTAAACAGTTAACAACTCTATTATACTCTGTTTTTTTTCTCAGGTAAGATTTCGACAGACGATGACAGAAGAAAAGCAGATGACGTCCCATACCAATCTATTTATTTTACTAAAAAAAGTTTCTAATAATTTTTAAGTTATCTATGGATGGGTTTAAATATAAATCCGTCATGCGTCGTGTCTTGTTGTTTTTAACCAGTTTTATTGGTTTATTTAAAAATGACAGATCATATTTCAATTTTATTGGTTTGACGGAACGATGAACGATAAATGGACGCCGATGCGTATGAACTCGCCTTTAGATTTTTGTCATTTTTGACGCTTGTCAAAGTCTTGCCAAATTATAGGTTATAATTTTGTGTCAACTTTTGTTGAATACCCTGCGTTTTGGAAGATGATGCATTTTGATTCGTATTATTACGTGTGTTTTGTGTCTTTTGAAGTCAAGTGGAGGAAAAATCGAGTGAAAATTAACTGTAGACCCAGAGCACAGTTTATGGTTAATACTCGCTGCCCAGGCAGAAAGTCTTATACACCCCATCGTTAAAGTTTGTATACCATCTCGTCGTAGATAAGTGCATCTCGTATATGGTAGAAGGATCAAACTAAACACATACTAAAAACTGGAGTAGCTGTAAAATATCGACATCACACGATAGGTAAATAATGGATTTTAGTACTGCAGAAAAATAATGTCAAAAGGTACTGGTTTAAAAAAATTAAGATTAAAGTTAATTAATCAACCTTTAAGGTATAACATTTGGTAGGTGTTATTATTAATAAAATAGTTTGTTTTATTTACCTATGTTGTTTTATTTATTCCTGTGGAATATTACAAATTTGTATCTACATAAGTTATATTGATAAATATAATCATAAATGCGGGTAGTTTCATAAAGCCTGAAAGTAAAAAATAGTTCTTTTTTATATTTTTTTGGTATGTAGTGTCTTGTTCTTGTTTGTTTTGTATTAACACATACCGGTTTTATTAAATAAAATAACTCGATTACATTTTTTCAGTTTTATACAGTTTTTTTCACAATATTTTGAAGTAATCACTTGTCATCCTGTCAGTCAAATTTTAAATATTTCCTGCTATGCGTTCCAGTTGTACCAACTTATTTCTTTGTAAAATAAAATAAACTACTTTGAAATTAAAATGACAGACACATCTATCACTGTCAAGGATCTTCTGGTTGGACAGACTATAATCTATTTTGGACAATCCTTTGACACTTTAAAATCTCTAATCAAAAAAGACCTACAGCTTGTATTAAGCTGGCTGGACTCTCACAAGCTTAGTTTAAACATAGGAAAATCAAGCTACATCTTTCTTTCAAATAAAAAACCAACTAACACTGAAGACCTAGTCATTGACCAAAGTAGAACTCTTCAGTATAGTAAATCAATAAAGTATCTGGGGCAATGGATTGATGAGATCCTCATGTGGCAATGTCACATTGACATGCTAAGAACAAAGAGGTCCTATCGGAATTTTTAAAAAAATTAGATACCTTGTGCCTGAAAAGTTTTTGAGACCATTATTTTTCTCCTTAATACAAAGTCAACTACAATACCAACAGCAATTTGGTTCCCAACGAAAAAGAAATTTATAAAACCTTTAATAATGCGCCATAAAAAAGCAATTAAAAATATGTACCATTTGCCAAAAACTTTTCCAACTTCCCAGCTCTTTCAAAAATATAAAATCAGATCCCTGCAAAATATTTATAGTATACAAACTTGCTCAATCATTCATCAAACTATAAAATTAGATAGACATCTAATAACAACATTTAACAAAAGAACGAATGTACATACTCATAATACTAGGAACTGTAGTCAAATAGAACCATTAAGACCAAGGAATAATACTGGTGCTAACTCTATATTATTTAAAGGCATAAGTATGTATAACAATTTACCTAACAGCTTAAAACAATTAAATACAAAAAAAATTAAAGTAGATTATATTAAAGTAAGATAGATAAAAAAACACTTTAATTATTGTTAAAAAAATATATTAAAACTTTTCAGCCCATTTCAACATAGTTTCAACCTGGTTTTTATTATTATCTTTTTTTAATACTTTCCCCTTTTTAAAAAAAAACATATTTTAATAATAAGTTACTTAGTTATCCTATTGCTCGCTCACATTCTCCATTTGTGATATTCAAGATATAACTAGCACTAAAAGACTTGTACCTTTACATTTAGTTAATTACTTATACGTTGTTTAGTTATAGGAAAAACCTTTGTAAACTGTAATAGTTTGTTGGTTTAATAAAGATTTGTTCTTTAAAAAAAATCAAATTGAAATGTGTCAAATGAATGTCCAAAATGTGTCAACAGAACTGTCAAGGATACCCAAGAACTGTAAACTAATAGGATTGCTCATCCTCATAAGACGTACGTTCGCCTCTTCCCGCGCTTCAGCTGACAGTTGTGACGTCATTGTAGTCCTTGTCATGATAGTGTGTATTTTTAGTTGCCTATGGTAAACTTATAAAAATAACAGCTGAGAAATTTTGAGTTAATTATTTTGTCAATTTTAAATGTGAAAAAGGTGTCTTTAAAGTTTTTAGAGCTATAGTGTATAAATGCGTTCATTTTGTGTTGTGGATTGTGACAAAGTGCTTACTAAGTGCCTACGATATTGTTTATTAATTATTTTAAAGCAAAATATGGAAGTACCTAAAAAGAATGCTGGCAAAAGGTGATGTTGGGAACTGCTGTTCTTAAAAATGCATTATCTGAGTATTTAATACGATTTATACAGTTAATTTTCTATACTGCATACATATAAGGTGTTTAAATAAATAAACTAAATAATGAACGTTTTGCATTCGGCAACTAATAATGCACGTGTGTATTATTGGTTGCCGGATAAGGACCAATAACCATGACAAGGACTACAATGACGTCACAAAGCGAGTAGTTTTCGCATGGCGGACACTTTTGGCTGAATGAGCAGTCCTATTAGGTTTACCGATTCTTGGCATGAATACATGAATGGTATCCTTCCTTAATCTTTTTATTCAAAGAATGGCACTGATTAACCGGAATTTAAGTTGGCATTTCTAGAACCCCGTTGCGTTCGATCTATGATTTTTGATATGCTGTTTCCTTAATATTTTTATTCAAAGACTGATTCAATAAATATTATGACAAAACTAACAAATTACTACATCGACCCTATATTTTAACAGGTTTAAAAAAATAGAACGCCATATATAAACCAAAAAAAGTACCTTCGCGACGGGGTTAATTTTATTACTATACTCCTTCCTTGGTCTTTTTTTTATTCAATGCGTAAATTATAAGAAAAATAGAAAGGTTTATGCAAACTACCAAAATAAATACCCCAAATTATCTTATCAATATTAAATACAACAAAGTTTACCCAACCAGTCATTTCAAAACAAATATCCGTGTCCTAAATTAGTATGTATTTAAATAAGGTCACAATTCTCTTTAATTAATAATAATTAATTATTTCTAAATATTCCTCTGCTTCCATGAAAGAAAAATAAGTAAAGGTAGATGTTAAAAATAAGTCTTTTTATGGCTGGATAAAAAATATGGTAAAATGTATTGGTACTTACAAAGAATACTTGAGGGCGTCGTCTAATTCCATAATAGCAGCTTGATTTCCGCAACGATAACAATAATTTGGAGCACTAAAAATAGTAACGACGTTCCTATCGTGACACCAATTATAACCTTCCATAACCAGCTGATGGGCCCTGCAAATCATATAAAAAATGATTTAAAATAACTTTTAAAAATACAGAAAAAAGCAAAATAAGACACTAAATTCACCACTTATATTAATTTCAAAACTGTCATTGTTATCCTAAAGACAAAACACCTCCACTGGAAAGGTCAGGTATTTATGAAATTTCATGTAAGGATTGTAATCAAAAATATGTTAGGAAAACTAGAAGATCAATTTTAACTAGTCTAGATAATTAATTGTTATGCTGGATTGATTTTGACTTGCATGGCTAATTTTGACGTACCAACCGAGCGCCTATATAAACTCTCAATTTGTAGATATTAGTTTAGTTTTAATCATCTGTAGGTGACGCTAAAATGGTTAACGAAACGCGCGTCCATTGTTAAAAGTCGTGCTTTGGTATATTGTGGTGAATTAGTATTTTATTTTGCTGTTGTAAGTTGTAACAACAGAAGTTCCAACCTCCAACTGTAGGAATAATTACAAAAAAATAGTTTCTTGAACATACCTCGAAACTAAGGTTAATCCATTAGAATGATTAAAGGTTTCAGAGATGTCTTGTCCAAAAGTGTATCCCGCACCTCGAGGACTGATGCCCCATCCACCGCGGTCATCAGGATCGGACCACAAAAGGTCACACATTGGTCCTTCATGAGGTACCTAAAAGGAACCATTGATTAATTATTAAAAAACATATAAATAACTAGTTTTTGTGGAAAACATATTTCAACTAGTTTGGTCTATTCCCTTATTAGTCTAAGAGCTAGCAACGTTTTCGAGAAAGTATTTAAAGACGTCTGGCTCTTTGATATATCTTTTACTATGCTCTCTGGAACAGCATGCGGCCCGTCTGGCTTCCGATACCCGTTGCGTTCACTACTGCGCATCGGAAGAAGGTCCTATATTTTTTATTAATTTAGTTCTATAAATTCTAGTATTGAATATAAATCGAATATGTCTCCATAGCTCAGTGCCTAGAGTTTCCGACCAAGAATCGATGATTGAGAGTTCGAATCCGGGTCAGGTCAAAGACTTTTATTTTATTTTCGTTTATATTCTGATAGTAAAGTATTAAATAATTCTGGTAATTAAAAAAAAAACAAATATTTAATACTTTATTATCAGAATATAAACGAAAATAAAATAAAAAAGTCTAAAAAAACGGATTCGAACTATGAATCATCGGTTCGTGGTCGGAAATTCTACGCACTGCGCTATGGAGACATGTTCGATTTATATTCAATACTAGGATTTAAAGGACTAATAAAAATATAGGATCTTCTTTCAATGCGCAGTAGGGAACGCAACGTTTACCGGCAGCCAAACGGGCCGCATGCTGTTCCAGAGAGCATAGTAAAAGATATATCAATGAGCAGACGTCTTAAAATACTTGTTTTTCCGACGTTGCTAGCTCTCGTACTATATAAAGAAGTGGATTTAACTATTTTCAACTCACCCTGTAGATACCAAGTAGTTTAATCAATTTTAGTATGATTACTTATGAAGAAGACTAACATGATATAATACTAGTTGAAAAGCATCAATAGTTACCAAACTATTCATTTAAAAAAAAAGGTTTAAATGTGTAGAAAATTTAATGTAAAAATGATCTTAGTTCAGACAGAAACGACAAAGTATAAATTAGGACATTATGTTATTTTGTATGGGCCATGAACACAAGACATACAGAAAATGACAGAAAACATAATTCACTTTTTAATTAAACTGATAGAACTGTCACTGTTATATAAACATATTTTGTTAGACTATACTTTTTGCACTACAACTAAATGTCATTGACACAGACTTGTTTTGTAAAAGGTCGTTTCAGAAAAGATTATGTATTATATTATACAGGGCGAGTCTTAAATAAATGGAAATATTTTCAGGACCAGTAGATCTCGATAAAAGAAACATATTTTCTCTTTTCTCTTTACCATTTTTCAAATAAGGCCAAAATAACAGAGGAAATATTAAGGGGCGTCCAGACCAGATGAGCGAGCAGTAACAAGCGCGAGCAAACATTTATTCAAATTCGCTCATGATTTCTGCTGCTCTCGAGCACATGATCTGCTTCCGTCCAGACCTAGCGATTATTTGTATGTTCGGCGTTGATCGTTGAGATGGTGGAACATAACTCTTTTTAAAAATCGAGTTTCTCATGGTGGTAACAATTTACTAAACGATGTTGAAACAGAAGATTCTGGAAAATTTAAGAACTTTTGTCGGATGTCACTTACAGATTTTAATACCTTATTAGATTTAATTGACATAAAAATAATGAAAAGTGATACCAATTACCGAAAAGCAATTTCACCTAGAGAAAGGCTAGCTGTAACCTTACTGGTCTTGGCGATTTTTGTACTCCTATATTAGTTCTAAAACAACTTCATTCGGCCATTCCATTTTTGATATTCGATCGCAAATGTGGTAAACAAAATCCCGTTCAAACCGAACGTGAAATAGCGCGAATTTTCTTTGATGTACCGACACGACGTGGAATAGCGTCGAGCGCGAGCAAGCAATCATTCGCTCGCCCGCAGAGCCGTCCACACCAGTTAAGCGTTCCCATAGAACATACCCGAATTCTTGCTCGCTCCTGCTCGCTCATCCGGTCTGGACGCCCCTTTACATACTTTGAAAATAAAAAAAAATATATTTTTTTCTCAAATTTTGAGAACCACTGGATCTTCTCTAGGTTTTCTTGCAAATTTAATCTACTACCTATGCTGCCATATTATCAAGATAGGTATTATATTTTATAACTAAAATTTAAAAAATTTCTAAACTTTTTTTTAAAATAAAAAATTTTCATTTTTCTCATCAAAAAAAACCCATAGACGTGTCTCTGGGGTGGATTTAAGACTCACCCTGTACTGTAGCAGGTTGACCTTTCTAACTTTTCAATAAGTTTAAAAAATTGACACTTTACATGCAAATATTTGAACATGTTTTGGAAAACGTGAGAAAATTCAAAACATTGACAGATTTTACTAACTTTTGTTGACCTTTCCAACTTTTCAATAAGTTTAAAAAATTGACACTTTACATGCAAATATTTGAACATGTTTTGGAAAACGTGAGAAAATTCAAAAACACTGACATATTTTTCTACCACAAGAATTTAAGAGTAATGGATAATAGATGGTATAAATTAGAACATGTGATGTTTAATAATGAATGGGAACTTATAGCATTCTACTGAGTGAAGAAACTATACCTATTGATTACATTTAAGAACTAGTGTAAAAAAATATATAAATCAAATTATAATTGTAATACAAATTTTAGTTCTAGCTGTCTTGGGTTAAAGATGATGAATCATAAAACTCTGAGTTAAAGACTCATTTTTCATTTCTATTTTAATGAAATTAATAATTTGCCAATATTTAAATCAATCCATTTATAAATTTAAGAGATACAAAGTAAAAACCAAATAGGTACTTAGTTGCAGAAAATTTTGATAATTTTTTTAGAATAGTAGTAAGTTATAGTATATTTTTTGTAGTAGAAGTACATTGCACATTTATATTAGTAGTAAGATTACTAATATTTGTAGTTTGTAGTAGGAAGTACATAATTAAGTAGTAAATATATTACACATTGATAAAAACAATCAGTACCTACTATCTTTCAATGACATTGACTCACTTAGAAGGTACAATTGAAAAAATAAAAATTCAGGACATATCTATATCATTGTATTCAATTTAAATGTTTTATTCAAAAAAAAAGTTTAAATATGTTAAAAAATTACTAATCTAATACTGAATCATTCACTTAACGACTATGATAATGAAGTGCAAATTTAGAAACAAGTGTAATGAAATAACAAAAATATTGTTTTGCTATTAGTCACTCAATTCTTACCTTTATCAATCTTTATTCAAGATTTACTTGAAATAAAAAAAATAAAGACTGAAAAATAAAATGAACTTACCTCTTGTAAACGATCCAATGCACGAATATGGTCCAAAGTGTCAATGCTGGGACTTAACCCACCATGCAAACAGAATATTTGACCATCAACTAGAGCTGTCAGTGGCAAGTAGTCGAACAAATCAGTGAAAAATTTCCAAACATTTGCATTTCCATATTTTCGGAGACATTCATCGTAGAAGCCATATACTTGAGTAATTTGTCTGGACTCATGATTGCCCCTTAGAATTGTAATTCTCTCCTTATACCGAACCTTTAAAGCTACTAACAATGTGACTGTCTCTACTGAATAATATCCACGATCGACATAATCTCCCATAAACAGGTAGTTTGTGTCAGGACTTCGTCCGCCTATTCTGAACAATTCCATCAAGTCATGGAATTGACCATGTACATCTCCACATACTGTGACTGGACATTTTACTTCCTGTACATTGGATTCCTTGGACAATATTTCTTTAGCCTATAAAAAAAGAATTTCGTTCAATACTTAAACTATTATTTATAAACTGCTCCTAACACACTTTCTATTTTAAAAGTGCCTCTAAATTAGATATCAAGACATTTAAATTTAGACTGGGCAGCATCCATTTACAAGGCTTCAGTTATTTAGGTTTCATTATGAATACATTTTATAAACCAGTAGGTATGTATATGAAATTAAAATAATATAACTATTAAAGATCCATGTTTGACAGGACACTATTGAAATTAAGGAAATATCAGTATCAGCTAACAATCATTATTAAAAATAGGTTTCAATATATCTGATTTTTCTGGCTGGTGTTGAGATTTTTAACAAAATCTCGACTTTAAACATTCAAGAACTATAGAATGATTGATTACCTTATCACATAGGGTCTTCACTTGATTTTCCGTTAATTGGTTGCAATCGTTTAGTTGTTCAATCCACTGGTCCAACTCCTTACATGATGCCTTTTCGTCAATCGCCATATTAATAAGCCCCTTTTGTTCAAATGGTTAATAAATTATTTTAGAAGGTATTTAAGTAAATTTTATAAGGTAATATCTAATTCTAAAGCTATACGAACACCATTAATGTACTTTTTGTTCACCATAAAACAACAATGCAAAATGGCGGCGTTTCATAGATTTTTGACTAATTTATAGAAACGTATGCGCAAGTGCGATACAAGTGCGTCAATTGATATCTACGCGGTAAATTTAAATGAGCGCAACAATTAGATTTTAATAATTTATTTCTTGGCAAATTACCTGCTCAGCTTTACTTTGAATATCCTGAAATTCATTTTGCTTAGAAATGAACAGTTTATTTAACTTTGGAGAGGTTGTTGCTTTCATTTTGTTCTTTCTGTGGACGCAAGTTTACTGACATTTAACGTCAACATTTTTACACGTGTAAAAGGTAATTAAATTTAAAAAAGTTTTTTTTTTAATTCCGCAATAATTAACACCTATTTACGAAATATACAATAATAACGAAAAATGTTAGTTTTCAGATGGTTTTCAGTTGAGTTTTCACCTCAAATTTTATATATTTAGTCTTGTATTTTGAGTTGCATAAGTTGAAGGCCCATAATCAATATTTAATTTCCTGTTTGTGCAGCCAATCAGAAGTTAGAAAACCCCAAACAGAATAAAATTTCATAGAAGTTTAGGTTAAGTGGTATTTTTACGATTTTTATACTTTCCAGTATTATTTTCTTAATAAAAAAACTTTTATTATATATAAAATGGTGACTGATGGTCAAGATAACGAACAAATTATTTTGGCTACTGGTGGATATGATCATACTATAAAATTATGGCAAACGCACACAGGAATGTGCCATAGGACAATGCAACATTCGGAATCCCAAGTAAATGCCCTGGAAATTACACCCGACAAAAAATTGCTTGCCGCAGCTAGCTACCAACATATTAACATGTATGATTTACTTTCTAATAACCCAAATTCAATTGTAAACTATGAGGGCACTTCGAAAAATGTTACTTGTGTTGGTTTTAATGATGACGGAAGACTAATGTATTCAGGTTATTTGATTACACACCTCTGCAGTATTTGGTTTGATAATGTGCCAATTTTATAGGTGGTGAAGATGGTAGGGTGAGAATTTGGGACTTGAGAAGCAAGAATATAAACTGCTCAAACACTTTTGAAACACTTCCTGGTTCAGGATCAAGTTTATCTCCGATTAACTGTGCAGCACTGCATCCAAATCAAATAGAACTGTTTTTGGGTAATGTCTATTTTACTTGAGGTATAAAGAATCAAGAGAAGTTAAATTATTTATTTTTGTAGGAGATCAAAATGGAATTATCTATAGATGGGATGTTAGAACACCATTAAATCAACAATTTATTCCTGAAAACGATGTTACAATTTTAGACATAGATATTTCACCTGATGGCACACAAATGGCTTCCGTAAATAATAAAGGAAATGCTTACATTTGGAATTTAAGTTCAACAGGTTAGTTTGATAGAGAAATTTTAAAAATAATGTTGACTCTTTTTATCTTTCTAGATATTGATGGTAAAACATCTTTGCAGCCAAGACATAAATTTACTGCACATAAACGAGCTGCACTGAAATGCAAATATTCACCTGATTCGTGTTTCTTAATCACCACCTCAGCAGATCAAACGGCAAAAATTTGGGACACGGAAGATTATAATTTGCAAAAAGAACTGAAACAAGATAGTCAGAGGTGGGTATGGGATGCTGCGTGGAGTGCAGATAGTCAATATGTTTTTACAGGTTGGTTTAGTTGGAATAGTAGCATTGTTTACAAATTTAATATATTATATATTTTACAGCATCATCTGATAGTTGTGCAAAACTTTGGAATGTAAGCAAAGGTACTATGGAACGAGAGTATGCGGGTCATCAAAAAGCGGTAACAGCGTTAGCATTTAGGGATACAGTTATTAATTGATTCAAATAATTAGGATTTATAGGTTTAGACTGATTTATATTGTATAACAAAAAAATAACAAACATGTTGTATATATCTATTTACTCAGAGTTGTTTGATTCATTTTGAGATGGTTTCTTTTCAGTTTCCAAAGCTTCATTTTCTAAAGTTAGTGAACAGGTCTTTTGGAAATTATTACAGTCGTAACAACGACAGTCACAAACAGGTTCAAACACAAATTTGTCAAGTATTGTTTTGTAAAACACAAAGCCCCCTAGGAAACTTAATGTGCCCAAGCTGACCTAAAATTGAATGAAATTAAAATAATTTTTGTAGAAAGGCAATTTTCTATACATTTCTGAAGTTCTTTGCAGCTTTTTGTGGTATGAGCTTGTTAAAATTTACTCTCGAAAGAAACCATTTTATTCTATTTTTACTGGAATTTTTCATAATATTCTAATTCAAAGAAGCGTTACTGATTTAACAAGTTTTACTTGGTTTAAATTTATAATACACATAACAACAAAACACAAATGCGTATGTAGCAATCGCATACTGAAAAAAAATAGATCAAAATTAATTGTAAATTAGAGGCAAAAGTATGGCTTCTTACATTAGCTCTGCCTTTTATCGTTGTATTATTAAAATAACGATTAATCCCTTTTAAATTTGGATCGTCGTATTTGTTATGTTCATCTTCTGACATTTTTTCTGACTTTCTAATGTAAGAGCGCTTTTCAAACACCAGCGCGCCAAAACAGTGACGTTTCTGCGTTTCCATGTGTAGTTTCTTAGGCAACTAGTAAATCAGGCATTTAAATCAAAGAACTCTTTATACTTGAAAAATCTATACCACAATCCTTTATATACAAGGCCACAATCTATACTTTTTTTCCTATTTTTTATTAATTAAGTTATTAACAAGATAATGTAAATGGTTTGATAGATTTATTATAAATTTATAATAAATTAGAGGAAATTATAATATATTAGTAACGTCTGGCCCTTTATCATTCATTTTTTTCCTGCGTGGAGCATAGGGCTTCAATAAACGCTCTCCAGCGGGTTCAGTTGTTGGCAATTGCCTTTTATAGTTAAATTATTAATATGAGAATTTGAGAAAGGGTTTTGGAGAAACTATGGTGTGTAGAGCTACATTCCATAGGGAAAACATTAAAGAAAACATCAAGAAATTATCTTTTCAGTGTATAATTGGTTGCATTACTTTTAATAGACAACATGACAAATTAAAGTGTCAAAACTGAAAAATATGTTCTTCAGTTTATTAATCTGCATTTTTATTTGTTTTTATGACTAATTTTTTGACTAATTTTAAAAATATTACCACAAATGAGGGATTTGAAAAGCGATTCTTAAGGCATATAGTAAGTATGGCCTTTGTTACAAGAAAGAAATATTTATAGTTTATCATATTACATAAACAATGATTGGTTTTGTCCTCGTAATGAAAAATATTCTTATTTTTCCCGGGTAAGTGACTTGTATTAAATAAGAAATAAATTTTAATACATTATCAGCAGGGCGTCGGGTTCAACGAACCCGCAATGATATTCGGAATTCAATAAAGAAAATATAGAGTGAATTTATCGTCTAGATAAAAGCGTGCCTGTTTATTTTAAACCGCGGTAAATTTCGCTCACAGCTTTATTAAATTTATAATACGTTTGACTAAAGGGAATGAAAAATGAGATATATATTATCTAAAATTCGTTTTACTGGTCCAATAGTTGCGCGTTTCAGCTATAAAGCGATTAAGTGCTACCTGAATAATATCGATAGCAATAATAGATTTAATAACATGAAACATTGGTTGCGTAAAATGTCAACACAAGATATTAAATTTCTTGGTGTTTTGTTTGTCGAAAAAATTAAAGTTTATTGAACCCCGAGCGCTTATTTGCAGATGATTGTGGCGCGAAAGTCGAAATCATTTTTACGTGTTGGTTTATTTATAAGGCTCATGTTGTTGCTGTTTAGCAAGCTGATTTCCTTATTTTCGTCTTTTTTACTTTTTGTTATCAATTAGACACCTTTAAGGTTTTGACTATAATACAGGGTGGCGCACCTCATTCACCTCGGTTGATTATACGAAAACGGAAAGATGTAGAAACAAAATATTTTATGGGTATATGTAGGGAGACAATGTGCACAATTTAAAATTATTTTGAAATATACAGGGTGTTTCAGAACTAAGATCCATACCAAAGTTATATTTTTTCTTATGGAACACCCGGTATTTTATTTCATTTTTGGATTCTTGGGCTCAAAAAAAGGCATTTATTATAAGGGTTAAATATGTTTAAAATCTTTAGTTTTTGAGATATTTAAAGATATTTAAATTTGCGTGCTATAATAGAATAGACTATTAACACCCTGTACATTACTTTTCAGAATTAATTCTTATGCTGAGTTTAAAGGTAGAGAAATAAACTTTACTGAAAAATGGTATTGATTCCTTAAATTTATACAGGGCTATCAAAAGTTTCTGATCTATTTTAAGGGTATATTTTATATAAAAACTTCGGTATTTCAAATGCTAGACCCTATATTTTTTTAAATAAATCGAAGCAGATTCAAATTCTCTTTCAAACTATATTGGATTTTCCTATACCTATCTAGCTCAGATTTTGAATAAAAAGCGATTTTTAAATAAAATTACAATCAAGATGGCTGGTGTTGCCATGGCAATTTTCTAGTGACAGTTACTGTTTTCAAAATCGACATTAGTTTATGGACATTATTATTTATAATTTATAACAGTTTACTTAAATTTACCTACAATAGTTTAATAAGTAAGTATTCATTACTTTATCATGAAAAATAAAGCAGTAGCTGCTGGCGGAACGAATAGGCCTCAAGGGCTTATGCTCAAGGGCCTCTTGGCCTCAAGGGCTTATGCTCAAAGATATCCAAATAGGAATCTTCCAGATAAGCGTTTCTTTGAAGAACTTCTTGTTCTATTTCGCAGAGCTGGTAGTGGGTTTATAAAAACCTATTAGGCAGAAACCTGTCGTTGGAAGTGAAGAAAATGAATTTGTCGTAATTGGCTCTTTTATAGAAAATCCATATATCTACAAGAAATCGTCAAATAATTCAAAGAACTACTTATTCGTTTTTCTTGATAGAATAATAAATACATATTTAATATATATTATTTATTAAACTATTGTAGGTAAATTAAATAAAAGTAAACTACTATAAATTTAAATAAGTCCATAAACTAATTTCAATTTTGAAAATAGCTACTGTCACTAGAAACCATAAAATAATAAACTAGAAAGAAGTGTCAACTCTGTGTTAAATCGTGGAAACACGATACGCCACCGAAAGCCTTCGTTGTCGTCTGGAGAACTAACTTTCCAATTGACAGGTTGACATGATAAGGACATCATGGCTTAATTTTCATTTCCGTTTCCGGTTATTCAATGGCGGGCCCTCTTTCAGTTCAAATGTATTTTGTATTTTTACTTTTCATAAATAAAACCAAAAAATAATTTATTCACATATATTTATTTAAATATGGAACAACGTGACTAAATAAATATAAAAATATAGAGGATTGTATTGTTTCAATACCAATTAGTTAATTATATGCACTTTTAACGTAAATTAGTTAAGGTATAAGCATGACTTACAGTAATTTGTAAATAAACACACGCATTCGCAAACTTCAAGGACAGAAAACGGTCACAGGAACATGAAAACGGGAGCCTTATACAAAAACCTGAAAACAGAAAAACAATTTTTTATACTAAAATTAACAATGTAAAAATATCAATAGGTATAAAATATAAATATACTGTTTAAAAAAAGCGTCCATTATTCCCAAAGAACCTGGCTTATAAATCAAAAAGATGCAAAAAGAGACTTTTAGTCAGATAACATAATCAGATTATCAGTCCGATTTATTGCATTATTGACAATAAATCGCACATATTGGAGATAACTAATGTTAGCTATAGTTAAAAATGATCTTACCTTGCTGTAAATTGTTTCCATTTTCAAAAAAATCGCCGATCAAAGAGATTATAACACCATTTTCTTGCATCTAAAAAATGTAAAAACAGTGTTTATTTACTACTTATTTTTCATATACATGGGACTACCGACATACCTACTACTGCAGAAACGTCATTTTCTCCAGGATTCTTCATGTAATATATATTTTATATACTTTATTACCTTTATATTTATAAATTTCAGCCGAAATATTAAATTGAACTTCCAAAACGAAAGTAAACGGAATGAATTAAAATGACGTCAAATATTTTCGAATTTGTTCTAGAACAAATCTGAAGTTGTCTCTGAAACTGAAATCTGTCAATTCTAAACTGTGAAGTTAGATAATAGTTAGACAAAAACAATGCTGTCCTTGTCTAGGCGGCCATACTTGTCGTGAGGAGAATGACAGGAATGACACTAATGACTGTTTCCAATTTTCCTATTTCACTGTCACCCCCCTGCTAGAAACTTGTCATGACAACACTAGCCATCTTGATTACAATTTTATTGAAAAATCGCTTTTTATTCAAAATCTGAACCAGATAGGTATAGGAAACCCTAATATAGTTTGAAAGAGCATTTAGATCTGCTTCGATTTATTTAAAAAAATACATAGTGTTGCATTTGAAGTAACGAAGTTTTTATGTAAAATAAATATTTAAAATGGACCAGCAATTTTTGATACTCCTGTATATATTTAAGGCAGGAATAACATTTTCCTGTAAAGTTTTATTTCTCTACCTTTAAACTCAGCACAAGAATTAATTCTGAAAAGTAATGTACAGGGTGTTAATAATCTATTCTATTGTGGCATGCAAATTTAAATACCTTTAAATATCTCAAAAACCAAAGATAAACATATTTAACCCTTATAATAAATGCCTATTTTTGGGCCCAAGAATCCAAAAATGAAATAAAATACCGGGTGTTCCATAAGAAAAAATATAACTTTGGTATGGACCCATAAAATATTTTGTTTCTACATCTTTCCGTTTTCGTATAATCAACCGAGGCGAATGAGGTGCGCCACCCTGTATATGAACAGCAACATAGGGAGTAGAATAAATTTCCAAGAAAGAAAACCTAAAAGAATACAGCGATTAAATAGGGAAGGTAAAATAACTCGGATATTTTGGAGTTATTTGAAAAACGGCAAAGAGAAAATATATTTCTTTTGTCGATTTATCTTTTATTTAAGACTTACCCTGTATATGGATTCAGTAAAAATACAAAATCACATTTTGCTCACTATATCACAAAAATATTGTACAGTGTTAGTGTTATGCCGGGTCCAGACCAAGGCGGCAAAAAGTAAACACAATTTTGAGACAAAAACAAGACAAACTTGCGGCAAAAAATGGGGAATTCTGACAAGACAAATTGTCCACACCGCACAGTGGGGTATTTGACACTGATAGTTGATCGAAATTTTTTTATGTAGACCTTATATAAATTATTGCTATTTTCAATTAAAGAGGAAATAATATGAACAAAATAAAGGATAATTCGTCGATTCTAAAAAAAAGAAAGAAAAATTACTGTTCCAGTGTTTCCACGGTCAGTGCCAGTAGTAATATCGCAACTACTACTACTAATGCTACGACTGATCCGCGAGCAATGCCCATACCACTAAAGTCGCTACTAATGCCAAATTGTGCTATACTGCTAATGGCACTAATGCGATCGCTTTGTACACAACAATGCCCCCCATCGCGGTTTACACCTCGCATTAGTACATCACTGATTGGCAAATTAGAGGAAACCAAGAATGTTTTTCTCATTTTATCAGCAAAATCGCAAAAAGTCGCAGTATTTTATTTTACTGTATGAAAGCCCAATGTTTACTAAGTAAAACGTATATAGACAATATGCTGAATTCTTCGAAATGCGCAACTAAATCTCTAAGTATAATAAAAATGTCACAAATTTAATCAAATTTTCTGAATGCCTAACTTTTAGTTGCAAAAAAATCGTTAGTATAGAGAATATCAAAATAAATAATACGTTTTTGTAGAATACATACCTGCAGCTTGCTGAGCCATTTTCAATCAAAACAATAATATAAACGTAAAAAGAGCACAAGAACAACAACAATTTATAATTTTAAAATAAAATTTAGCTATTTACCTCTTATCTGGGAGAAGTAACAACTTTGACGTTTCGTTGAAACAAATGAATGCAACTAAACACACCCATAGCAACGCCATTCATGGCAGAGATGATTTAACTTATCATTTATCTTTTTTTGGGAAATCTTAAACACATTTGCTTTTTCGAATTTCGATCACCTTTTTCATGCTAATACCCCACCGTGCACCGCAAAAAAAAATATAACAAAGTCAAAAGTTTAGTTGTTGCGAATGAGTTTTATTAACCATGTGTTATTTCACTGGTCTCCTACTGTTGGCAGCACACGCCATCCACACTGCGTCGACAACTTGTCGTAAAATATACGAACAAAACATAGACACTTTGATCTTTACCGACTCGAAACGGGGAATGAGACAAAATGTCGCAGAAATATATTGGCTTTGTCGCAATTTTGTCGTAAAACATGAATGTTTCTGTTTTGTTTACTTGGTCTGTGTGGATCCGGCATTAAAGATCTATAATTTTTGACTTGTCTTGATATTCCTCTACTCGGTGGTGCTTGGAGTAATAAATAATGTTAAATTCGCTTGCGAAATTTTTAAAATCTCGATAATATGACAACATGGTAGTAGATTATTTTTGAAGAAACGAAAAAAATCGAAAAAATCCCAAATTTAAGGAAAAAAATATATATTGGTGTTGCAAGTTAAAAACATTCGAAAAGATGTGAAAAAGACCTTCAAATGAGGTGGTTCAATTTCTGTTTGACACGGGCTTATATTTGTTTGAGTGTACTAAAAATAAAGAACGGTGAATCACATCATATAAAATTGTGAAACAGTAATAATTGGGACAAGTATTTTTAAATAAATAATATCATCATAGACGGTTTTGCTATAAACGTCACAAATGTCGCAAACTGTTTACTTCAGCATTGACAGCTTGTAAGTGACTCAATACTTTGAGTAGTGAGATTTACTGTAAGTAATTTTAATTTTTTATTTTTCAATTTTGTTAAATATTTAATTTAAAGTAATGGTCCGTGGAAAAGCTACAAATCAAAAACTACGTGAAATTATCATTCGTCAATATAGTACGGAAAAACATTCGAAAAATTTCTGATGATTTAGGTATTCCAAAAACCACGGTCTTTAATATAATAAAAAAATACCGTAAAATCTAAATTATCGTGGACACAAAATGATTGGAATAAGGTCATATTTAGCGATGAGTCTAAATTTGATGTTTGCGTTGGAGATCATCGAAAAGGAATAATACGAAATAAAGCAGAAGCCTTTCATAAACATTGCTTAAAGAGGGTTGTTAAATTTCCTAAGGGGATTATGGTTTGGGGTTGCATGTCAGCAAGAGGTTTGGGCAAATTAAATTTTATAGATGGCACTGTTAACGCCTAAAGATATCAACATATACTTGAGACCTCACTTTTGCCTAGTGCTCAAGAATTGTTTCCAAACGAAGACTATCTTTTCCAACAAGATGGAGCATCGTGCCATTCAGCAAAATCAACTAAAAATTGGTTCGGTAATAATAATATAAAAGTTCTATCCCATCCTGCAAGTAGTCCGGACCTCAATGTGATAGAAACTGTGTGGCATAAAATGAAGCAATATTTAAGAAACCACCCTCAACAAAAAAATTTTGATTTGCGGGCAAAACTGCAGGAAATTTGGGATAATTTTTCTCCTCAAATGTGCCAATCTTTGGTAAATACAATGCCATTAAGAGTTCAGGCAGTTGTTAAGGCGAAAGGTGATGTAACTCCGTATTAAACAAATTTCTTGTGCTGTCCCAATATATAGTTGTCAGCAAATTTGGCTTGATTTTATTGCAAACAAGACCTTGTCCCAACATATAGTTGTTAGGGCTCGTATCATTAGAAAAGTCGTATTTCAAAAATCTGTATTTTTTTGAAAAAGGTAATAGATTTAATTAAGAGGTGACAGAATAAATAAATAACAGCAAAATGTTAATAGAGCTGGTACCAATGTATAAGAACTTGACAACGCTATTTCCGATACGCTTCAGTTCGTCCGCCAAAAAAATGTATGGAAGGAAAGGATATGGAACGGAAGGGAAACGGAACGGATAGTGTGCATTGTCCTATTCATTTACATGATAAATATAATATTTTATGTAAACGGAAGGTAGCTGATACGGAAGGTATAGTGAGAATTGAGAATCAATCTTAACAATCCACAAAGGCAGAAAGGCACTGAAAATCCTCTTTTTCCGGGGGAAAAATTCCGGCAACGTCGCTCTCGGAAAAGTCGCGGTCTCGCGGCTGCGACAAGTGCGTCCGCCGTCCGAAATCTGGCGGTCGGCGTCGGCAGTGCTTTCGCGCCCGTCGCACGGGTTCAATCGTCCGTCGAGCGCGCACGCTGGTGGTTGTTCGTAGATCGTGGCGCCCTCTTGTTACGCGCGAGACATGCCCCTCGCTGCTGCCCCGGCTGGTTCACGCGCCAACTGAACGCAACAAGCTCGCTCGTGCTCGCGCGCGCTCCCTTTGCCGCGGTTTGTACAGTGTGTCGTCGCGAGATCAGCAACAAGTGACTGACTGGATAAGTGTGTGTGTGCGTTTTAATATTGGGCCGGTAAGTTGCCTCATCCACAATTGTGCCCTATAGGTGTCCAAAATCGCTTAAGGATGAAATTTTATTAAAAGAAGTAAAAAAATCGAAATGTTTGGAAAGAAAAAACAGAAAAACTGGACTTTATTTTTATAAGTGACTTTTATGGCTTTAAAATTTAGTGTGTAAATAGGTAAACCCTAAAGAGGATATAATAAGTATATTTTCAATACCTTACGTGCTCTACTACCAATAATACTGTGCTCATTATATGCTACAAAAAGCCAAATTGAACAAGACTCTTTTATAAATTAGCCAAACAAAAATAAACAAATTGTATTAATGTTGTTCCTAAATAAGTAAATCTCAACAATATTTGTTATGTTCAATAATAAAAATGAAAAAAATCACACTTCATTGTTTTGATAGTTTTCAAAAAATGTATTTAATATTTTCGTTCAATCATACAAGTCAAAATGATGCTTTTATGTTTTTTATACACAAAATTCTACAAAATGCATCCATAATCAAACACAATCTGGTTGCAAATAAGAAGCAGATGATAAGTATTTCTTTTTGTCCTAGACTATTTCGAATAAATAAATTAAAAAAGTACCTACATAAAATATTCAATCAAAATAAAACACTAAATCACCACAATACACCAACACACTTTACTTTTCCACAGGACGCGAGTTTCGCTAACCATGTTAGTATCATCAGCAGTTTTAATCATCTGTCGATGCTAACATAGTTAGTTAAACAAGTACTATACTACCAAGAATACTGTGCTGAGTAGATACTAGAAGAATCCAAACTGAATAAGCTCGAAATCTGATGCCTTTAAAGCCATCAAACAAAAGAAAACAAATTGTATTAATGTAATTTTTCTGTATTAATGTTGTTCCTAAATATTTATGCTTAATAAATTACCTTACCATAGTTTTTAAAATATACATACTTCTCTCTGCATCTTCCAATTTTTAAAAGAATATCTCTGTGTTTTCAAGATTTTTGTAGAAATGCTAGTTTAAAAAAAAATTGATCGCCAGTGAGGTCGATATCTAAAATCTCATATCGTAGAGATAATGTCGAAATATGGGAATGTTGATATAAAAGCTGTTTAGAACTGGAATTTTTAGAAAAAATTGTGACAATATTAGATGAATGATTAATATTCCGACTCTTTCCATACCAGTTCAAAGGATATAACATAATAATATTTTTATCAAATAATATTCAGCCACGTATCTTATTTTAAAATGTGAATTTCCATGCCGATGGTACGTATACTTGATTTATAAACAAGGGTACTATTATTCAAGTCTAAAATTTTGGAACTTTAGAAAGAAGAAAAGAAACTGCAGAAACAAATCAGTACCTCTATAAAACAAAAAATTCTTAAACTTATCAAGAAATTTGCAAGATTTTATGAAAAATCTAATAAGTATTAGGTTAAATTTACAAGAAAGAAAATCCAGAAAAGATCCAGTGGTTCTCAAAATTTCAGCAAAAAATCATTTTTTTTTGGAAATTTTCAAAGTAAAATAACTCCGTTATTTTGGACTTATTTGAAAAACGATAAAGAGAAAATATGTTTCTTTTATCGAAATCTACCACCCCTTAAAATATTTGCACTTATTTCTGGGACACCCTGTATATGCTTTTGTGGTAGGTCAGGGATAAGGTTCGTATGCGAAATTTCCCGATGATCATTACGAATTAATTATTTTATTGATCGGTTATTGTAAGGTTTGCATTTTAAATTACCCAAAGAATAATAATTAATCGTGCCTCTGATAAACAAGCTCTAAAAAAGTTCTCTATTTCGTAAAGAATAATACATTTTTTCAAGTCTGCTCGTATTTTAAATTGAAATCATTATTTTGATGGAAAATTATGGTCTGAATTAGTTATTTTGGTTAACAGGAATATTTAAATTTAAATGAATGCCGTGCGATGATATAATTTAAATGAAAAATGTTATTGGCCGTTATAGCGGTAATTAAATATGATTTATATTTTGATATTTCCCGTTTATAAAATTAACTTTATTAAATAAAATATCTATTCATTATTTATCACTATATATTTATTAAAAATTAACAGGGAAAAATAAATCAACCAACAAATAGTATCGTATAAGTATTAAATAGTGGATAAAAATACAAAAAAAACACATACTTTTGATACATAGATTTTTATGGCATTTGTCCAATTACTATATTTATAAGGATAAATCAGCATCTACCCTAATGGGAACCTACCAGGGCTGTTTTCAAGGAATTTTACACTATCGCCATTCGCTTTGGCATTAAAATGTGCGTAAGAGTACTAAATTTCAGGAAAAACGGTTTACCCAATGTTAATACAAATAATAAACAAAATACATATATTATTTTTATTTAGCATTACGAGGGCTGTAACTTCTTCGGGAACCATTTTAGGGCACATGTTCATAGGAACTTTTTGTTTTATTTCTATCTGTAGAATCATCCACCAAAGTTAGATTAATAATTTAAACAGTTAATTTCTGACACCCCCTATAGCTCCTGACCACCTTAAATAAACTACTCGAATGTAATACCACAAGATGTTTCGGGATTACCGAATAATGCTTTTACCTGACACGAAATGCGTTACCCTGCAACACTACGACTCCGCATTGAGTGTCTGGGTCTGGCATTGAGTGTCACTGGCTATCGCATTGAGTGTCAGGCAAAAGTATTAGGTAATCCCGAAACATCGAGTTGCATTCAAAAGATTATACAACGAAATAAAGTACATATTATATCCTTATCCTTCTTTTGCCATTTTGTAATAAGAATTGACGGGATATTTTGTGGAACTGACAGAAATGACTTCTGAATTAATATTTCAAAAAATGACAATTACAATATGGCCACCAAGCGATAACCACTTAAATGATTATCACTTATTAATCACATCCTTCTATATAGGAAAAATATACATAGAGTTGTATCATCAAAACAATTATCGCATATTTTCTAAAAAGAAAATACTAATTTGAAAAGCAAGACACTTTGAATTCCCTGACTTACGATTTTAAATATTATGGATACTGTGAAGGGAAATTCGATACAATAAGCCTACGCGCTAACCTGTAATTTTAGGTCGGCCGACTATTTAGTTTAAAAAAAAACAATACATACTTATGAAGTCGATCGACCGACTATTTGATTACATGTGAGCGCGGTTCTATATGGATATATTGGTTACAAATATGGAACTAAATAGTCGGCCGATTAAAAATTGTCTGTCAGCGCATAGCCTAAACACAGAAAGCTACGTAATGTAATCAAACGTTGGGCCGATCGGTTTCATAAGAACGTATTGTGTTCACTTTTGCAACTAAATAGTCGGCCGACTAAAAATTACATGTCAGTGCATACCCTAATTATCCTAAAAGAACTCACAAGAGAAAGGCAGAAAAATGCATGCTTCATTTAGAAATATGTAATAATTACTTTTATTCAAATATGCGATAATTTCCCCTATCCGCCACCTGGGGTCGCGTTCGATGGGAGTTTGGAGTTCTACACACGGATTTTCCCAAAAACGGACTACGGAAACACGGAATATCTCAAAAACTGCGACTTTGACTGATTTTGATATTATTAAAAATTTTGTTGCAAATATTATTCCTAATCTTAAATTGAAAACCGCGTTTCGCTAGCTACTGTAATTTTGAAGTTATGATTTTTTAAAATTTTTAACCCCCTCCCATACCCCCTTACCAACCCCCCACCCCCACCAAAAACTAATGGCCAGATTCTCAGGCGCTACAGTATTTTTGTGCCAAATTTGGTTAAAATCGGTTTAGCGGTTTTTATCGTGTTAGAGACAGACGGACAGACAGACAGACACCATGAAAATATTTTGTACCTAAGGTAAACTAGCCAATTAATGACCGCTTAAGCAGATACTCCAACTTTATTTCAGTACTGTTTTTTTCTGGAACTGACTAAAATTCAACATATATTTCTTTAGGGTACTTTGAAGTATTGTCTTTCATAAAATCATGCAATTTTGTTATAATTTTGTATTATAACTTAAATATTAACGGATATTCGGAAAAAAGCAGGTTTAACCAATTATTGACCAGTGTAAAGTTGAAGATATCTAATTAGTGACCATACGCATATCCAATTATTGACCGGCCACATTAAATTGATTATGTGAATTATACTTACTTATTGCTATACTTTTGGATATAAAACAACAAAATTTTAATTAAAACTTTATTTTTAAATACCTACATAAATTAATTAATAATCACAAACATATCATACCACTAACTTAGAAAAATATATTTATACCTAAGTACCTACTTTTGTTCAGTACTTTTTCTAAACAAATACGAAAAATCACATAAACTTATTTTTTAAGGTAATTTTATTATGTAATTATGCAGGTACGTCCATAAATTCTTTGGTTTAACTTACTAAATGTAAGTATATATTATAAATTGCACATTAACTATTTATACCTAGGAACTAAGTAGTAAGGAAACTACTTAGTTCGTTGGTAATTTATAATAAATATTAACATTAATCGATAATAATTCATTAATACATATAACAACTAATTAATACAACACTTATTAATGATAAACCATTTGTTTAAATCTGTATGGCACATTTATAAAATTAGCAACAAGTTAAGTACCTTTCGTAAAAGAAATGTTAAATTTTGTCTTTATTCGTATGAACAAAATGTATTATTTCAAAAAATACTTTATCAAAAATTGTTACTACATGTTTCTCAACAAAGTCTAACAAATTTGAATTAATAATTATACTAAACTGTCTATATCCTTGACACTATAAATACCTCTCTTGTTTATCATTTTTGGTTCTGTTATATCAATTGTTTTTGTTTGTGTATAAAAACATGTATAGTTGTTTTATATTTGTATTTGTATGATTTTCTGTCAAAAATTGTTGTTTTCTGTATATATATTTATCGACGATCCTATAATCTAAGTACCATGTATTTATATTAAAAGGAATTAATAAACTAAACTAAACTATTCGTTATAGTGTCTGCTTCTTTATACCATAATATATCTTCGGGATATGGCCATTTCCAGTTTAACCCACTTGGTGTCATTGCTGTCACTTTATATTCAATTTCAGAATTTTGATTTCTAGTATCTAAAATCTTGCCAGGAAAATATTTTTGTTCATACCTGACAATACAGAAATTGCCGACAAATTTTTTTATTAATTTTTTTCTCAAATTATTGGATAAGGGTGTTTCAGTTTGGTTTATCTCAGGTACTGCGTTCTTATTCAATTTACTTTCTTTTTATTTAAACGTACCTGTTTTCGAATATTTTTTCTTCTACTTGTTTACTCCTAATCTCTTCTTTTCTTTTATGATATTGTTGCCATTCTTCCGATGATGCGACTGCTGGTACTTTTCTTTTTTTCTTTTTTTTCGTTTCTATATTTTCTTTTGAATCAGGCCAAAAAAAGTGCCCTTTTAAAGGGAGTGGGAATAGAGTCGGGAGTTGTCGTAGAAATTTTATTAGGTTGCTCTCCAATTGTGGTATTTTCTATTGAACTTAATGCAGATACGTTGTTTTGTTTTTGGACATTTGGGGATGGTGTTGACTCTAATTGTAATATATTAGTATTAGAATTATTTGGTTCTAGAATTTCTATAACAATACTGTTTTCTTCTTTTGGTGGAACAGCAACACGATTGGGTTCTTTTATTGAATCAGTATCTAAAATTTCATATTCTTGATTTATATCAAATGGGATAACCAAACTGTCTCCGTCTAAAATAATTCTATCAATATTAGACATATCTGCATTCTCTTCCAGCACTTCTGTAATAATATTATCTATGCTCTTTGATGGTGAAGAATTTGCAATTGGTAAAATGTCTTGGTTTATTTCCATATCGATTTCCTCATTTTGCTGACTTTCGTCATGTTCATTATATTTATTTTTCTCTGCCTTTAAAAACTTCCAGTATTCATATAATCCCGTGTTTCTGGTATCACCCTTCCAAACGGCTCCAGTATTTTTAAATATTTCAATTTTATCGGGAAGATCCATTTCCATCCTTTTTAAAACAGTATTTATAGTGTAGCAATTGTTATATTGTTTTTTAATAGTACTTTGGCAAGCTTCAGAAATTTCTATGTCATTTTTGAAATATTTGGAAAAATTTATATTATCCACTTCAAAAGGAAATAATCCTGTAGCTCTAAATCCATTTGAAATTATTTTTGTTTTATTTTCCATTTCGTCTATCGATTTTTTGAAGCAGCGGCGCAAAATCTTCTCTGGATATTTTAGCTCCATTGTTCTCTAAACGCCATGTGTGTACGACCGTTTTCCAAGACATTTTTAATGGCCTGAAAAATGCAACATCTAGTGGCTGAATTATATGAGTCGCATTAGGATACAGAGCGACCAAAATAATTTTCTTTTCAGAACAGAATTTACTAAGAGTTAGAGTAAGATGAGAAGAGTGTCCATCAACAAATAAAAGCACGGGAAACGAAATATTATTTTCCGTCAGCCATTTGTAGAATACATTGGCAATGTATTCAAAAAAGGTTTCACCTGTCATCCAACCATTGTCACTACGACCAAGACCCCAATGTTTAGGTGCTTGATTACTTATTTTTGGTGGTATACGTTTGTATGGAAAAACCACCATCGGTGGTGGCAAATCTCCAGCGGCATTGCACATAATGAGCGTTGTCAAACATTCCTTGTCATCATTACTAGAAAAAGAATAAACTGCTTTTTCCCCCTTTCTAGCCAGCACACGATTTCCCTTCGGGCTCAAAAAAAAGCGGACTCGTCACAGTTGTACACCCGTTTTGGGTCCTCTAACACATTCTCCAAATTATTATTTTTTAAATATGTATATACTTCGGCATGCCAATTCCTTAAACTGTTTTCATTTAGTGTCGATCTAGGCTTGGATAAATTTTGGGCTACTCTAACTGCTATTTCGGGATGTCTCTTCTCAAAAAGCTGATGCCATTTTATTGTTGGACGACCGCTTGGAAACGGATTTTCTTTCTTCATATATTTAAAAAGTAATTCTATGCTATCTGCCAATTGATTCCGGGTAGCAGGAAAGCCTCTATTACTGACGAAGATTAACCATTTTACAAGCATATCTTCTTCATCACTTGACAGTAATGTGGGTGGCCCTGGTTTGCCTGTCATGGGAATTTTGCCAGAATTTTTATATATCAGTGTGGTTTTTGGTATATTGAAAGCTTTACTGGCATTTCCATAGGACATGCCGTTTCCACGGCAAGTAGAGCGTTATCAAGCATCTGCCTGGTGTATAATTTCCGTTTTTTATTTTGTGGGGCATTCTGAAAAAATGTAAAGTACTTAATACTTAGTACCGCATTTTTTCCTTAAAGGAATTACAAATGCTAAATTGCTAGTAAAATGGCGTATATTTTATATAAAATTAAAAATACGTGTTTAACGTCCAATTAACAAGTAACTAACAAGGCTATTTAATCCAGACACTTAGTTAGAGTGAACAAAAATTCTGTTTTACCGCAAAACTAAATAATGACCTATATAGTGCCCTATTTGTGACCACACTATTAATATTAAAAATAATACTATACTTTAACATATTACGCTGAAAATCATTTGGTCAAAATAAAATGTAATGAATCGTTTTATTAGTTTCATGGTTTTGAGGTAAATAATTTGCTATTAAAATACTGAAAATAGCAATCTCCATGCAGTTGTGTCTGTGAATCAATTATTGACCGACCGGTCAATAGGTAAAATCCTTTAGATCCAATTACTGACCAAAGGAAAGCTAAATAATGACCGATGCTTAATCCTAATAGTGACCGCATATTTGTTTAAAAATACTAATTATGGTCAAAATATTATCATGGTCATTATTTGGCCTACGATAATAGTTTAGTGTATTATTAGTTTATTTTTCAATAAAAAAAATGTCTCAGTATTAAAATAGATAAAATAAAAGGAATTATAATTAGTAATGCAATAAACCAATTATTGACCGGTCGGTCAATAATTAGATTTTCTGTGGTTAAACGCACCCAAATATTGACCGATAATTATTTTACATAAATGTTATAAAATATTTAATTTAAAGTATGCAATTGTCAAAAATATACCTTTATTAATGTCTAGAAACTCAAATATTGAAGTAATATGCTTACCTTAATTGTATTCGCCTCGAACAAACAAAGCACGCTGTTAACACCCTCGACACCTAATAACGACTAAACGGGCTGATCTCCCGCGCCCCTACGCTTTAAATAAATTGGCGGCTGATTTAAAAAAGTAAATATCAAAATTATGTGAAAAACATTAACCTTAAATATGTCTAAATGAAATGGAGGCGTTGAATTGTTTATAAATGTTTTAAAATTCTTATTTAAGAAGTATATAGACAAAATCGGTCAACAATTGGCGATCGGTCACTAATTGGCTACTTACCTTAGGTCATTTATGTCCCAAATAACTTATTTTGCGTGAAATTAAAAAAAAAAATTTGCCGATCTTAATAGCCTACTATACCTGTTGGTATGGTCGACTAAAAAATGATTTTTTGCTAAAATGCTGAGAACCACAGGATCTTTCTGGGTTTTGTTTTTTTGTGAATTTAATCTACTACTTATGTATGTTGCCATATTATCAAGAAATTATGATTTTTTACTGAAAACTAAAAAAATTCCAAAATTTTTTTAAAAAAAATTTGGTTGCCTATCTATTTTTAAAAAAAAAAGATTTTTTAAAAAAAAATTTTTTGCGAAAAAAATCTCATATTCGTGTTTCAGGGGTCGAAATATACTACCCCTAAAAATATTTGCACTTAATTAAGACTTACCTTGTATAGAAGCATCTAAATGCAATATACATCCTCACAATTACAACCTCAGAATGTATTCCTCTAAATAACAGTTTCATGTTGAGCAAATTGACTTTATGACTTCGCCAAAATCATTTCCAGCGCTTAATTGTTTGTTATTTGGGTGTTTAGCAGTTGCGTGTGACTCATTAAAAAGCCAACAAACTTTTTTGCAGTAGGAAAATTTTAGCGGCGGGCGTTAATTCGCAGAGGCCGATACACTTTCTTTCGTTTACACTTTTCGCTTTTTTCTACGATATTTCAACTGGTTTCTATTTAACTTTTAGCACAGAGAAATAAGTAAATCTAGAGGTGCCCTGAAATAATTGTTAATATAATGATAAACATATTTCCTTGAGTCAAAAGTATACTCTTGTTCCAAGACCTTATTACCTGCATATAGGTTTAAATATTTTGCTTCGGAGCGTTCGAGTGAAACAAGGTATTGATAGGCCTTATATTTATAGAAACATTCGCCAATATATACAAAGAAGCCAAAGCAAGAGTAACAATATATAAATTAACCCCAGCTACGCTTTTTAGAGCACTAGATTAAACCAACATAAGTCGATGTTATTGGTTAGGACGCCTCTATATTTACTAATTTCTTTGTGGTATTTACCTAATCATTTCACAAATTTTTACGACTATGTTTCTGTTGTTGTTCAAGGCCAGGCAATTGCGGCCATGATCATCTCCAAGGATCTATTTCTTCTCGGAGACCAAGATTATTTGCGCCTGCCCAACAAAGACGAGAAGAGGCCTCAGGGGCCCAATATGGGCCGTCCAAACACTGCTCCTAATCACAGGTGAGTTCTTAGTATATTTAGATGTCCAAATATTTTATAGATCTTTTGGTAAAAGCCAGAACTTTTGTGTTATGTTTGGGGAATATGTCCTTCTTGAATTTACATGAATTATCTCTAATATATCATGAATCAAACATTTTCAAATGTTCTGTTAGACAATAATGAACATTTAAAACACACATGAATAGAATCGTGCAAATAATGTGGCGTGGCATTGAATGTCAAATGTTGAATACCAAATTGGTATTCAACATTCTATCGAGGCATAGATATGCATTCGCAGTGAATATAGTGCGATACGAATGTGTTCAGCGCGAATGAATGCTTTCGATCTTCTGTACGAACCTCCAATGATTGGAAACTTTGCTATTTAAACGTATTCATAATAATGCAGGAAGTATTAATAACTCGAATGGTTGAAATATATTGCGAATGGTATTCAGATTAACTTAAATCATCATATCTTCAGATCCAGATTCAATGAGTTCTATCAGTGAAATTGATTGAACACGAATTCTTATACTTGAAGCAGTTTAAACGGACTCTTCTAGTATAGACTTTAGCTGTCGTGGATAACTGAGAGTATCATGTTATTTACTGTCTGAAATCTCTAGAATTGTTATTGACTTTGTTATTTCTCAGTAATTTTAACAGGTTTTTATGATACCACTGACTCTACTCAATTTCACTTGCAAGGTTCCTATGTTAGAAAGATATTTTGTTTTTAAACTAAATTTATAAATAATTATGTAAAAATAAAAAATGAAAAGTTGAAAACAAAATTAGAAAACAATCAATTAAATCTAAAACAACTAGAACAAAACCTAAACAAAGTCAAAAGTTTCCGCTGTATAATCTGTATAATTGGCTTTTTTAGTTTATTTAATTATTTTTAAATGAACATTTTTTGGCAAAATTTTTTATATCCTTTTTGGCAAATTTCCTTTAGGCAAGTTTTTATTATCGAATATTCATTAAACAGATTATCAATATCTACTTCATTTAATTTTAAAATTTCTAAGGTTTTAATTAATTCGTTGAAAAGAAGTGTTTTCAAATTCAAGAAATTAATAAACATGTATTTTTAATAATAATTTTTACAATATTATTGTTTAATAAAAAATATGGCTATTAAAAAAATAAAAATCGGGACTTTGCGTGGGGACACGGGACTTTTGGATCAAAATCGGGACTGTCCCGACAAAATCGGGATGGGTGGCAACCCTGGTGTGTAGTCCTCTTTAACATCTATTATCAATTTTGTTGTAGTATCATATCTTAACGCTTCAATCTAACGAAAACCTTTAAATAGAAAGGACAACTAGAAATATTTATTCATTTATTGTTCGTTATTTTTGTGCGAGCGGAGTGAAACCCAGCTGCCATCTATTTATCAAAAAGAGAAACCCGCGTGACAATTAGCTGCGTTTAAGACACGATCCGCTTACTTTCGTTTCTGTCACTAACTACTGCCACTGACGGACACAACTCCGAAGCCAAATAGTACGTAATTTGTTGGTAAATAATCGAGTAGATGGTGATTCCCGTAATTGATTACGTTAGAAAGCTTTTATCTGAGATTTCCGAATTAATCACGACGGTGTAGTACCAGGAAGTGTAGGAGATTGGGTGGTACTTGTCATTAGAGTAATTGGTGAAAAGCACACACAAAGTTGTCCGTTGGTGAAAAATTACTTTCTTGTTTACTAGTCTAAATAAGTCTAAATTTATACTTGAAATTGATTACCTTGCCTACTTAACTTAATAAGTATTTTGGGGGATTTAATAAACCTAAAAGTCAATTTTTAAGGTGCAAGTACGGCATTCTGTACATGGATTTATTTTTTGACCCCCCCAAATGTAACAATGTAACACATGTAGTCTTCCAGGTTCTTAAGTTCCGCTTTAAGAGTTCATTTCACTAGTCCGAAAAAGTAGCAAAATAAGCGTTCGGAATTTAACGTTTTATGTAAAACTGGCTAGGTATTTTTACACAAATGAAGAAGGAAATTAAAGATAAAGGATTATACTATATCCGTATTGTAGCACATTTTTAGACAACTTCTTTATTTTTAAGATTTTGATGGTCAAACATCAACAAAATATTCCTTATGTTTGGACTAAATTTTCTCGAAAATAAAGATAATTTAGAATTCCGTTAGAAGACGGAAATAGATTGAAGTTTTGTGATTACAGTAATATATTAAGGGCTGGCAAAGGTTAGTCTTGGGTCGAGATTTCCGTATGTAAGAAGAGTACAATGCGTTTATAATGTACTGAACAAAGAGAGGACAGTAAACACGTTGCCAAACGTATGAAATAAACCGAGAAACTGTGCACATCGCTAAGAGACGTGGAAGGGGATATAGCAGATTTGTCGCAGTTGACCGGTCGACCCAATCACCTCTGTCAGTACTTAAAGTTCTAGGGAAAGGTGTACGTCATGCGTTCAGCTTCACGATTTAATTACGTCTCGTGATACTTGATTGGTTTATTTATTAACGAGTCGTTGTAATTTTCCCTATAGCTTGAATTTTTTTAAGGTCAAGCTAGAAACACTTTCATTTTTGGTAAAAATAAGTGGAATTGAGTGGGTGTTCGATAGTGGTCGCGCTATTAGAACTCCGAATTCAAAAATCGATATCTCGAAATCTATTAGAAATAATAGATTGCAGTTTTTTCAAGAACTTTGTTAATATTTCTGCTGTATTTTCTTTGTAGACAGTATGTGAAAATCTTTATCAGTAAAAAAATTACACGATTGCTGAAAATTGCTATGCTCTAAAAGTAAATGGATGGATTGTTTACAATTTTTGAATGGACAAATCAACCTTATCCAATTTTTTTTATGTAAACATATTGTAAAATATCCGTTTTTGAAAATAAAAAAAAAGTTTCAATATCTAAAGTGGTTCTTGAGTTATGGCCTGTTATGTGTTAAAGTTGAGATTTTAAATTATCGCGATTACTGACGTTTTCTCGTTATAAAAAAATGACACCCTAACGATATCCTTATAATTCCATTTCAGATGCTCAGAAACATTACAAACCTAATGATTTCATCTAGTTATCTCTTGAAAAAAAAAGTCTTTTAAAAATAAGCGGTTTGCGATCGTGATTTTACTTTACTTGATAGGGGAAAGGCGTATCGGCAACGTCGCAACAGCACACCGTCGCGCGTCGCGTCGGTCGGTCGCATTTCTCTCACGCCGACTTAATAAGATCTCTATGCGATTTACTTCCACACATGTAAATGCCGACCCAAAAGTAACAGTTGCCAGCACGGTATAATTTATATGGTTTTGTAACAAATTGCTCGCTATTTTATAGTAAATGCTGAAGCTGTGCAAACCTTAATTAAGCCTTAATTAAAGCACGTGTCTTTGGAATTTCGGGTGTAGCTTAACACGACAGGATCGGGCTAAGCCGTAGGCAAATCTCTAAAATATAATATATATTTCCTTCGTTCACATACCCGCTGTACCCGACCCGAAAGTACAGCGTAAAGACTCTTAACTTGGTTTCCACGGTTCACACGGGAAGCAGAACGGTTCTGGCTCATTTAGTTGGTGTTCGCTCCTTTTCTAGCTAGATAGTTTGTTTTTGACTTTTTGCATAGTGAAAGCTGTTATTATTAATAAGATTTTCAGGGTATTTTTAAAATAAATAAATCCTTATTATGGCTTTCGATATATCAGATAAGGAAAATTACTTCTAATCTTTTTCAGAATATAATTCGTCGTGGCAATATATCTTTTATAAGCGCGACAGGACTTAATTTGGGTTATAACAACTGCAATTAAGATTTTAATTATTTTTTTTTGCAGGCTTTAAAATATCAAGGAGAGCGGCGTGATCGCTTCGCATCAATAAATTTTAATTAAATAACTGTTAAATTTTGCGTTAGTGGCACAGTATTTGTCAATGTTGATACATCTAGTTGATTTTATTTTTATTTGAAGCATTTTAAATCTGGAGAATCTGAAAATTAAGGCCCAAACCATGTATGCAGGGTGCTACAAATTCGAGGTACGAGCATTGGTATCTCGGAAATCGTAATAGATACCAAGATGGTTAAATTGAGGCAAAGTTACTCCTTGGGATGTTCACCAAGATTCCATCAAAAAACTTTTAAACATTTCAAGGATTGCTGAGTTTTTTGGAAAAAACGGATTTTTTTGAAAATCATCTTTATTTTTTCGTGTCGTTAATTTTTAGAAAATGAAAGAACTAATTGCACATTCTGATAGCCACTTTATTAGGCCTATCTGGTGGTATTTTTAGATTTCCAAATTAGCTGATAGTTTGTGAGATACAGAAGCCGACTTAACTTTTTTAAATACGGACCTGCATTTTTTATTTCAGTTTTTGAAAGAACTCGGTTTCCTGAGTATACAATGATATGCCACACTTTATACTTTTTTTGTTTCGGACATTTGAACACAATTTATTTAAAATAATTTCAAGTCCGGATTTTTTTTTTAAATATTTAATCTATTGATCGTTACAATATTGATAAGCCTTCAAACTTAACAATGACGTAGGGTAAAATATTGAATACGGAAAATAAAATGCAATAAAAATTAAGAAAATCCAAACAAAACTAAATTAATATTTTTCAACATTTACAAAAGTATAAAGTACAAAATGCATTATTTTTAATACAAATATTGATATGTTATGAGTTAAACATAAAAAATTCAATAAAAACATATTTGCATTGTGCAGCAATTGCACATATCTATTTTTAAATGGATTTATCTGCAACATGTTTAAATTGATAATGGAGGATAAGAGTAACGTCACTGATTTTGCAATTATCGCTTTTTTAATTTTTTGAATCATTGTTTTAATATTCTGGAATATTTTTTTTGTTTTTATTGTTCTTGAGTTTTAGAAGTAGGGTTGAGGGGAAAACTTGATAAGGCCAATTTCTTGGCTCCCTGGACCCTTCATATAGGCTACACATGCATTAGTATTTTCATTGTCTTCATTTTTCT